CTTGATCGTCCTTGTATTTTTATAGCTATCATTTAATTTTAGGTTCTATTTCAATAAAACCTCATAGGTCTGGAACTATCTGTTTTTCTGCCAGCTTTGCCCTGATGTGGTTCATAAATATGTCAAGAAAATCTAATAAGTCTTTCATGGCTATATATTAATATTTTAATGGCAATTAAAAGAACAAAGAAAAGACTGACTTCTACAGATTATAATTTTTTTAATGTCATGTTTCAAATTAGCAATAACAGTGCTGTTTTTCTATAATGGCTTTATCCATGATTTAAATTCATGTAAAAAAAAATCTAGTCTTGAGGGCATGAAAGAAACTGCAAAACATTATTTAGTTGCTTTTTAAAAAATTCTCTGATTGCTTATCTCAAAAGGAATTTATCTCTAATGGCTGTCTGAGATAAACCTGTGCTGCCATCAGGCTTAGAGAATTCACTGACAGTATCTCTACCCACAATGCCTGCTGAAATTGAAGAGATGAAACCTACCTCCTTTTGCAAAAATCATTAGCAAGAATGTCTCTTGGACATACAAATCTTCTATTTGCCATGAGTCTACCTCACAGTCACTATGTCTACTGTATGAGCCTGAAAACCACCTCAAGGGGAAGGACTTCTAATGTTATTATTTCTGTAAAATATTTAGATTAATTTTACCAAGTAATTAGAGAAAATAAGAAAAGTTTCTCTGTGAAACAGGAAGTCTTAAGAAATGTATTTGACCTGTGATCCTCCTTCTTTTTTCTTTTTTATTCATTGTTCATTTGTTGTCTCTTAGAAGAGTGTTTCTTTTGGGGTGACTTCTCAGTACAATACAGTTCATTCAAAAGTCCTTTCTAGTCAAGAGATTTTCCTGGAAGCAGAGGCTGATATCTATATAGTTTGAAGAGATAGGTGGGAAAAATAATTATGAAATATTAGTGTTGAAAGAGAAGGCAAACTCAATTATAGAATGCGAATTTCATCCAGATTCCAAAGATGTTTGTAGAGAGAGCTGAAAGGTATCCTTGTCTCTAAATAAATACTGCTCTTCTGAACCAAACAGACTTCCAACACATTTGTGAACAGATATTCAATCTCATTAGCACTGGGAATTGCAAGTCCACACTGAGATGCCACACCCACCCGACTGGCAAAGATTTTTGCAAGCATGTGCAGCAATGGAAACTTCATGTATTGCAGTGGAGTATAAACTGGTACAACACATTGGAAAACAACTTAAAGCAGACTTTAACCATAGATTATCCCCTATGACCTAACAGCTCTACTCCTAGGTATATGCCTCAGAAAACTCTTCCACATGTGTAGCAAGGAACACGTACAAGAACATTCAGAACAACCTGATTTGGGCAGAAAAGAAAAACCTGTAATGCACGATTGTTTCTTTTGCTGGCCTGCGGGGGTTATAAAAAGCATTGAGCCCACTATTTTCAGGCTTTTCTGTTTTCACTAATATCTCACCTCACACAGGCCACTGAAACAAGGGATCTTCCAGGGCACATTCAGGAGACACAAAGAAGGTGGTGGGGAACGGGATCCACCTCCAACCACCTACATCCTTATTTCATTACATCCTTTACGTCTTTTGCACTCCTATTTCATTACTCTGGAAATAAATCAAAGTACAAGCAATTTTGAACCAAATCTATTCTCACCCATCCTTGAAGCTGGACCAGGCTCCATAACCTGGCCTTGCTTGCATGTTTTGTGTAAACAAAGAACTTAAAAATGAACTTTCCCCCCCCACTTTTTCTGTCAAAGTTATACTTCTGCCTCTCTCTGTATTTCTGACACAGCACTATCCCAATCTCCCTGTAATACAGCTATTGGAGTGTGAGTTTGGGGTCCTCTACCTAATTGTAAATTCATTTTGGAAAGGTCCTACTGTTACTAAATGTTGTAGCCTTAAGGCAAGCCTTGACTATAGTGGGTTGCACAAGGCATACCTGATACATTAAAAACCCTGATTTGGGGGAGAAGCATCTTTGGAAAGTAGAAGGGGCAGCAGCTCTCTCACATGCTAATATCCTCGAACAGACTGTATAAATCTCTCCAAGCATCATCAAATGAGAATCATAATACTTTAACATCCCAGAGATGCTATGCATACTACATGAAATAGCATGAAAAAGTGCCTGACTTAAAGATGCCCCTTGAGAAATGTCAGTTTGTTCTTTATTTCCATGTCTTTGGTTCTGTTTTGCTCATTTGTTGGCTTTGTTGATTAGTTTCCACTTATAGGTGAGATTATATGGAATTCGACTTTTACTGCCTGGCTTATTTCACTCAGCATAATGCTCTCCAGTTCCATCCATGCTGCTCTGAAGGTTAGGAGCTGCTTCTTTCCTTCTGCTGTGTAGTATGCCATTGTGTAAATGTACCACAGTTTTTTTTTAAGATTTTATGTATTTATTTTTAGAGAGGGAAGGGAGGGAGAAAGAGAGAGAGAGAGAGACATCAATGTGCGGTTGCTGGGGGTGATGGCCTACAACCCAGGCATTTTCCCTGACTGGGAATCGAACCTGCGACACTTTGGTTCGCAGCCCACACTCAATCCACTGAGCTATGCCAGCCAGGGCTTGTAGCACAGTTTTTTGATCCACTCATTTCCTGATGGGCACTTAGGCTGCTTCCAGCACTTGGCTATTATAAATAACGCTGCTATCAACATTGGGGTGCATAGGTTCTTTTGAACTGTAACCAGAATGGTGGGGGGAGGGGTGTAAGGGTGGAAAGAAGAGGACAAAGAGGATAAAAGGGGGCAAGTCAAGAAATATGAAGAGAGGAATCATGGGCATGGACAATGAGAGGGGATTGACTGTGGGAGTGGGGATAGGGATGGGGCAGGGGAGAGCAACAGGGAAAAAGTCAAGACAACTGTAATTGAACAACCATTAAAAAAAAAAAGAAATGTTAGCAGTGGAATTGCTGGGTCAAAAGGCATTTCCATTTTTATTTTTCTGAGGAAATTCCATACTGTTTTCCACAGTGGTTGCACAAGTCTGCAATCCCACCAACAGTGCACTAGGGTTCCCTTTTCTCCACAACCTCTCCAACACTTGTTTGTTGCTTTGTTTATGATGGCCATTCTGACCAGTGTGAAGTGGTACCTGTGGTTTTAATTTGCATCTCTCTGATTGCAAGTGGTACTGAGCATTCTGTCATATGTCTCTGGATCCTCTGTATGTCCTCCTTGGAGAAGTGTCTGTTCAAGTCCTTTGCCCATTTTTTAATGGGGTTGCCTGTCTTCTTAGAGTGGAGTCGTGTAAGTTCTTTATATATTTTAGAGATCAAACCCTTGTCTGAGGTTTCATTGGCAAATATGTTTTCCCATATGGTTGGTTCTCTTTTCATTTTAGTGCTGTTTTCTTTAGCTGTGCAGAAGCTCTTTATTTTGATGAGATCCCATTTGTTTATTCTTTCCTTTATGTCCCTTGCTCTAGGAGACATATCAGTGAAAATAAGAACCCTGAAACACCAATCCAAAAGAACTTATGTACCCCAATGTTCATAGCAGCACAATTTACAATAGCCAAGTGCTGGAAGCAACCCAAGTGCCCATCAGTAAATGAGTGGATAAAAAAAAACTATGGTACATTTACACAATGGAATACTAAGCAGCAGAAAGAAAGGAGCTCCTACCCTTTGCAACAGCATGGATGGAACTGGAGAGCATTATGCTAAGCGAAATAAACCAGGCAGTGAAAGACAAATACCATATGATCTCACCTTTAACAGGAACCTAATCAACAAAACAAACAAGCAAGCAAAGTATAGCCAAAGACATTGAAATTGAGAACAGGCTGACAGTGATCAGAAGGGAGAGAAGAGGGGATAAAGGGAGACAAGGGTGAGGGGTTTACAGGAACATATGGACAACAACAAAGTGCGGGGTGGAAATGGGGGAGGGACTTGGGAGGGCTGGGGTAATGGGAAAAGGCAGAAAACTGTACTTGAAAAACAATTTAACAATTGTAAAAATCAATCAATCAATTAATTAATTAATTAAACAATGTAAAAAAAGAGATATGTTAATGTACTCCCTTCCTCAGCGTTCCTTTCAAAAGGGGGTCAAATAAGAGCAGCCTTCCCTCTCTCTGTAGAAGGGAATGAAAAAGGCAGTGTCCTCGGAGAGGGTGCGGGTAAAGGGTTCCACTTAGGAAGTAGGGAGAGGACAGCGTTCGTGGAAGTCAAGCCACCCTAGAAACAGGATGCAACAGCTGGGGAGTGACAGCAGCAAAAAATGCACAGGAAAAGGAATTACCTCAGGCTTGAAATCCATCCAAAAGACAGCCAGAGACCCTCTAGACTTGTTAGAAAGGTACGTGTGGTCAAGGACCCCGCAGTCCTGTCTTCTTGACCTTCATTAAGAGACAACTGCATTTTCCCAAATGGTCTCCGGCCTTGCAGGAACCTGGGGGAACATCAACATTGCCGATGAACCAGTGTTGTTTTTCAGTGCACCGGGCACTGTGCGGGGACCCGGGGATAAACCCGTGAAGGGAACAGAGGTGCAACGGAGCTCAGGGAGAGGGAGCACCACAGTGCTGGGCAGAGCGGCTTCCCCAGGAGGGTGAGGACCAAGGGGAGTCCCAGACAGGCTAGGAAAAGAGAGAGCGAAGCCACGTACGAGTTAAAAAGTCCCAGACTCTCAGGACCACCTGGTTTGCCGCCCTCCTTCGCCCCCCACTCAAACTCCGCCAAAGCAAGAATGGACAGGCGTTCCTTCTTTGAATTCCACTCTCCCCCTCCCCAAACCTCGCAGGTGGGGACGGCGAAGTGCGAAGTGCGTGGTAGCCTGAGTCACAGCTCAGGCCCTCCGGCGCGGGTCCGCTGAGGGGTGGAGCGGGGGCGGCCGGCGGGTCCGAGTGACGCCGGAGGGGCCGGGGCAAAGCGCAGCCTGCGGGCTGCGAGGTGACGCGCCCGCCCGGGGAATGCGCCCGTCAGCCCACGTGTCCGCGAGATTTAAAAGTTGGCGGCGCGCGCGGCGGTCAGTCAGGCGGCCCGGCCCCACCAGCCGAGTTCCAGGGACGCAGAAGCAAGATCGGGGCACCGTCTGGAGTAGCGCCAAGTCCGGACCTCGGAGCCGTCCGCAGACGCCAGGATGCAGTCAGCAGCGAACCGCCGCCCCGGGCCGGCCCCGGGACCGGGGGCCACGGCATCCCTGCTCCGGGTGCTGCTGCTGCTGCTCGCCAGCGGCGCGGGCGCCTGCAGAGGTAAGCGGGCCCCGGCACTCGCCGCGCCCCAGCGCTGCTCGCCACGCTCTCCACCCCCTTTCCTACCTCTGCTCCAGGCTTCTGGCCGCGGGGCTCTCTAGGCTCCCGCCCTGGACCACAGGCGCGGGCAGCCAGCGGCGCAGGCGCTGGCGTGTTCCCCGGCCTCGCGCGCTGGCGCCCGGCAGGCAGGGGACAGCCAGTGGTGATGGAAACTTGGAGGGCTCCCTCACACTCGGGATGTGCACGCTCCAGAGCCCAGAGGTAATGAGAGTTAAAAGAATGAAAATTAAAATTCTTTCCTATTGATTGCAATTACTGGAGGGATTGATGGTTGAATCGAAACTAGAGTGAGTTTGATACTTCACCTGCTGCTGCGAGGTAAAGTCGGAGAATACTCACTCCACTTACGTTCAGATAATCCTGAGCAGTGCCAAAGGCCCTATTCTAAAGGTTTAGAAGGTAAGAGAGACTGTGGCTTATAGGTCTCAGGCATCAGATCAGAAAAAGGAATATAAATAAATAAATAAATAAATAAATAAATAAATAAATAAAACAGTGTTAGAGAAGCGAGAGTGCAAGCCAGGCTTTCAGACAGGGCTACAGCTAAAGTCAGGGAAGTCTGACGTGATTTGATAGCAATAGGGACTTCTGAGCTTGGATTAGGGGAAAGAAGTGGTAAAAGCAAAGGCAAGGTCAGGGAGGGAGGTCTGAAGCGCGGGAGACAAGGTAGAGTAGAGCGCACCTCATAGGGAGGAGAGCACCTTCAAGGTCACTTTTCCAGATGCCTTGAGGGGGACCATCTTCCAGGGCAGACACTGCCCTAAGACGGTGAATTTTGGAACTCCCCAGCAAGCGCCCCTAGCTTCCCTCCTCTGCCAGAAACCGCAGCTTCATCATTGTTCACAACATTGGGGGCTTGAAGCCACAACCGCAGGGACCTTTCAGGGCATGCAGCCAGCTCTGTTAGAGGTGGGGAAACTGAAGCTATTTTTCTTCTCCTACTGTATTTATTTTTATTGCTTTAGTTGTTTGCATTTTCTCCTTTCCTGTGGGGCTGGGGTGGCGGGGAAGGCGGTCTCCTTCTTGAAAAACAAGGCAATTTGACTTTGGTATCCAAGCAGTCAGAAGCTGGGAAACCTAAACCTTCTCCATATGACATAGCCGGCAGTGATGACTTATGCGAAGTACTGGTGATATTTTTCAATTTTCAATTTGTTATTGGTAAAATTAGGAAGGTGATCTTTATCTACCTTATTAGGGAAGCAGATAATCATAGTTTAAAAGCGGGCTTTTTTTTCTCTGTCAGGCAAATGTACTTTCCAAGCAGGTTACATACTATATATTTGCAGCGATTTTTGTATCAGTGAGAGACAACTGTTGTGGGGGGTGGTGGGGGAACTTTCAGGCTGCTGGTGACTGAACAGAAACTATGGAAGGCAGCAGCTGCTTTCTAAAAAGTGATGTCTTGGGCTTTATTTCCAAAAAGTATACTTACTGTCTGACCAATTGACTCATAAATATACCCAATATTTCTCAAGCAAAGGAATGAGACACATCCATCACTACACAGACATTTCCTATACTATCCTTTTGTGTCTTCTTTCCCCTTCAGATCTGCTCTTGATATTGAAAGCTAATTTTATCTCTCTACAATTGTGTTGGAACGGGCGGAGAGTGAATACACAGTGCAATCTGTCCTAGTCCCAAATCTCTAAAGATGTCCCTGACGGGGAAGCATGGCATAGATAAAGAAAACTGGGAGACAATCTATGAAGATTAATTGTTACAGAAGATGCAACAGGATGTATCTAAAAACAGCAAAACACATCACAAAGGCAAAGGAAAATGAAGTGTCAACAAGTATAGCATCCTTGGCAAAAATGAGTTAGCAGAGCACGTAATGGCAATGAGAAGGAAGATAAAGGGCCAGTCAGATTCTGTAGATGGAAACAGGTTACTATTCAGAGAACAATGTTAAAATAAATAAGGAAATTTCCTATAACAGAGGAGCGTTTTGGATATCTGCAACAAACTATCACTTGATAAGCGATCAAGTGCTCAAGACTAAAATAAGAAGTATCCTTTTCTAGTCAAAGCCCTGCTCATGGAAGAATCCTTAAAATTCATTCCTACTCCCAGCTCCAGGTGAACCCTAGTCTTTCTATAATATAGATTTGTCTTTTCTGGAAATCCCATGTAAATGGAATCATACAATATTCAGCTTTATCTGACTTATCCTAATATGTCTGGCATTCAGCTATGTTGTAGTACATATAAGTACAGGCTGTCCCCTACTAATAATGGCTCTACTTACTACTTTTGAACTTTGTGATGGTACAAAGCAATATACATTCAGTAGAAACCATGCTTTGAATTTTGATCTTTTCCCAGGCTAGCAATACTGTCTGGTATGATAGTCTCTTGTGATGCCAGGCAGAGGCAGCAAGCCATAGCTCCCAGTCAGCCACATGATCGTGAGGGTGAACACCGACACTACAATGTACCGTGTTGCCACCATTTGAGGGATATTGTGTTTTGCATTTTGCATCCCATCATGGCTACAAAATGCCCATCTGTGTCTCCTGTTTATGGTGAACAAATCGAGGAAGGCAATTATTATTGAGGTGAAACACAAAATAATTGCCCAGCTGTAAGCTAATGTAAGTGTTCCAAGCACTTAATGGAGGCTAGGCTAAGCTGTGATGTTTGGTATGTAACCCCGTTGCAAGTTAAGGAGCATCTGTAGTTCATTTCATTTTAGGGCCCAATAGCATTCCAGTGTTTGGGTGTACCACATTGTATTGACCTATTCACCAGATGATGGGTATTTGGATTTTTTTCCTTCTTCCGGCTATTATGGGTAATGCTGCTATGCACATTCATGTTCAAATTTTTGTGTAGATGTAGTAAATGATTCTTTCCTGAGAGTATTGCCTTTGTAATGTTATTAAGATTTATTTAATAAGCCTCTTGACTTTCTATACTAAGTCAAATGCTGAAATATCTAGTTGAAAGAGGAGGGTAGTGCTGTATTGTGAAAAATGAGAAATATTACTCCACGATGAACTACAGCCATGTGCTGCATAATGACCTTTTGGTCAATGATGGAGGTCCCATAAGATAATTATAGAGCTGAAAAATTTATATTGCCTAGTGATGCTTTAATGCAATACATTGCCCATGTGTTTGCCATGACGCTGATGTAAACAAATCTACTGCGCTGCCAGTTGTATAAAAGTATAGCACATACCATTATGTACAGTACATGGTACTTGATAATGATAACAAAAGACTCTGTTACTCCTCTGTGTAATTGCTATACTATTCTTTTGATCATTACTTTAGAGGATACTCTTTATAGTTATAAAAAAAGTTGGCTGTAAAACAGTGTGCCACATTATGCCAGCGTAGCCTCATGCATCTCGTGTTTACCACATCTCTTGATTGTTCATTTTCTCTTGTGCTTGATTTCATCTCACGTTGTTTTGTTCATCACAGCCCCTAAGCACACAAAGTCCACTGCTAATATTGCCAGTAAGAGGTGTTTAGTGATTGACCTAGAAACAAAACTAAAAGTGATAGGAAAATCAGTGAAGGTTATTACTCACCAGTCAGGCATGTGCCATGTCACCATCGCTACAATCTTGAAGAACAAGAACGAAGTGATGGAAGCTGTGAAAGGATCTATTTCACTGAAGACAACGAGACTAACACAAAATGAGAAGGGGCTATGACAGACATGGAGAAACTTCTAATGGTCTGCATTGAAGACCAGACACAGAAGAGTAACCCACTCAGCACTAGGAAGATCACAGCCAAAGCAAAAAGTTTGTTTGCAGTGTTGAAAGAAAAGCTGCCCAGACTAGGAAAAGCTAAAGGGATTCACCGTCATCAAGCCATTATTACATGAAATGTCAAAGGGACTTATTTAAGAAAAAGAAGATCAAAAGTATGATCGTTAAAAAGGCAACAAATTCACAACTCTCAGCAACTAGATCTAAAAACAAACAAACAAACAAACAAAAAACAAGCAAACAACCAGAACAGGAACAGAGTCATAGGTATGGAGATTATTTGGAGGGTTAGCAGCTGGGAGGGGTAAGGGGGAGCACAGGGGGAACGGTGCAGGGATTGAAAAGCATGATTGATAGGTACAAAATAGAAGGGAGATGTTAACAATAATATAGGAATTGGAGCAGCCAAAGAACTTGTATGTATGACCCATGGACATGAACTAAGGAGGTGGGGAGTGCTGGAGGGGAGAAGGGTACTGAGTAGAGTGGGGCAAAGGGGGAAAATTGGGACAACTGTAACAGCATAATCAATAAAATATACTTTAAAAAAAGAAAGAAAGAAAAGGCTGGACCTGAGTGTAATGTCGGATTTACTACTACTTCTTGGTGCTTTAAATGATTCAAGAATTATTATTTGTTACATAACGTGAAAGTGAGTGGTGAGTTGGCTGGTGCTGATGTAAGGCAGCTGAGGAATTTTTGATAAATCTAGGTAAGCTGACTGTGGTGGAAAATATGGACAAAACCTCCCTGTTCTGGAAATGGATGCCTGGAAGGACTTGCATCCATAAGGAGGCCAAGTCGATGCCAGGGCTCAAGGCCTTTAAGGACTGCATGACAATCTTACTTGGGGGCAACGTTGCAAGCTACAAACTGAAATCCTCTGTGATCTGGTGCAGTGAGAACCCCAGGGCCTTCAAGCACATCAGTAGGCTCACACTACCAGTGTTCCCCAGGAGCAGTAGAAAGTTATAAATGAGGAGTTGCCAAAATAGCTCAGTTGGGAGAGCGTTAGACTGAAGATTTAAAGAAATTGTAAATGACCCAGCTTCTCTCCCAAGATGCCCTCCTGAATTACTAGGCCAGTGAAAAGAAGTACTATTTGGAGGAAAGCACACCATTCCAGATTTTGGCTATTGCTGATAATGCTCCCAGACATCCTCCTTTTACTGATGATCTTCATCCCAATATCAAAGTGGTGTTTCCCCCTCTAAATATCACTTCTTTGATCCAACCAATGGATTGAGGAATGATAGCAGTTTTCATGGCCTGTTACATGAGGAGGACATTTGAGCAGGTTATTGCTGCAACTGAGGAAGACACTGAGAAGACACTGATGCAATTCTGGAATGATTACAACATCTGCGACTGCACCAAGAACTTACTTGGGCTTCAGATGATGTTGCCAAGGAGTGTATGAATGGGGCATCTTGAAGAAGACACTTAACAGGTTTGTCCATGACTTCAAAGGATTTGCTAAGGATGAGGAGGTTACAAAAATCAAGGCTTTTGAGACAACAGACATCTTTAACCTGGATGTGGATGAAGTTGACTTTGAAGAGCTTCTAGAAGTGGTTCCTGAGGAACTGACTAATGAGGAATTGTTGGAACTGGAACAGGAATGCATAGCTAGAGAAGAGGAAAGAGAAAAGGCAACTTCCAGATAAGAAAAAGAAGACCGCCCCCTACCCTGGCTGGTGTGGCTCAGTGAATTGAGTGCTGACCTGTAAACCAAAGGGTCACCTGGGTTGCAGGCCAGATCCCCAGTAGGGTTTGAGTGAGAGGCAACCACACATTGATGTTTCTCTCCCTCTCTTTCTTTCCTTTCTTCTGTCTGAAAATAAATAAATAAAATCTTAAACAAAGAAGAAGAAGAACCCCAAAGAAAACTCAGTGTATGGCTTAACAGAAGTTTTTACAGACCTGAACAAGCTCCTTAAAATGCTTGAAAACATGGATCCCAACACCGAAAGGTTTTCATTAACAGAAAGGAATATTCATGATGCATTGTCTGCTTATGAGGGATCTGTGATGGAAAAAAGAAGAAACTAGTCAAGCAAACCACATGGACATATTTCTGAAAACAGTATCACCTCCTCCAAGAGAGCCCAGGCAGACTCTTGAGGAGGTGGCCCAGAAGAAGGCAGTGTTACCGCAGGAGGTGACAGCTCCAGGCATGTCATCACCCCTGAGGATCTCCCAGTGGGGTCAGGTGTGGAGGGACCACAGCGATGTCAGTGACCCTGACCCATGTAGGCCTAGGCTACTGTGTATGTTTGTGCTTTAGTTTTTAACAAAGGAGTTTCAAAAGTACAAAACAAAATTTAAAAACAGAAAAAAACTATCAAATAAGGATATAAAGAAAAACATTTTTTATACAGCGGTAAAATGTGTTTGTTTTAAGCTAAGTGTTATTATTAGAGTCAAAAGCTAACAAAAAAAGTTTATGGAGTAAAAATGTTACAGTAAGCTAAGGTTAATTTCTCATTGAAGAAAGAACAAATTTTTATATAAATGTAGTACATCCTAAGGGCATGGCATTTACAAAGTCCGGAGTGTGCACAGCAAGGTCCTAGGCCTTTGCATCACTCACCCCTCACTCACTGACTCACCCGAGTAACTTCCAGTCCTGCAAGTTCTGTTCATGGTAAGTGTTCGGTCCAGGTGTTCCACTTTTAATCTTATATACCTTATTTTTGCTGTATCTTTTCTATTTTAGATAGGTTTAGATACACAAATAGCTTTGTGCTACAGTTGCCTGCAATATTCAGTACAGTAACATGCTATACAGGTCTGTAGCCCAGGAGCAGTAATTGACTGTACTGCATAGACTAGGTGCGTATTGAACTGTACCATCTATGTTTGTGTGAGCGCATTCTGCAATGTTCACACAATGACAAAATCGCCTCACACTGCACTTCTCAGAACATATACCCACTGTTAAGCAACTAATAAATGTATATATATAAATACTTAATTTTAGAAGAAATACTATAAAATTAACATGTGAGTTCAACTTTATTTTTAGGTGCTCCAGTATCACCTCAAGGATTACGTCCTGAACAAGAACTACAGTTGTGGAATGAGGTAAAGAATTATCTTCATACAAATTGGTGGAAAACTTTATCTTTCTTGGAACTTACGGTAAACTGAAAGAATATAATCGAGATTTGGGATATTCATGATTCCGGGGCACTCCAAACTCTCTGGGTCTAACTGCACGCCCCTATGACTCTGCCTGCTTGGCCTGCCCTGGGGCAGACCAAAAATGCTGGGAGTAAATGCCCCACTGAAGGAAGCCTTTGGCTGGTGACCCAGGGGAGTTGGTGGCTAAATACCTGAGCTCAGTTGGAATAACTCTGAGTTCTGCATTGCCTCCCCAAGTTCCCCAGACATATTGACCCCAGTTACCCACAGTGGTAATCTGCTTGATAACATTCCCATTATTGGATTTCTTCTTTTCCTTGTTTCACTTTTTCTAAATATATTTTGTTGATTATGCTATTACAGTTGTTCCATTTTCCCCTCTTTATTTCCTTCTACCCTGTACTCCCCTCACACTAGCATTCCCCCACCCCTGTCTTAGTTCATGTCCATGCATAGTACATGTAAGTTCTTTGGCTTCTCCATTTCCTATAATATTCTTAACCTCCTTCTGTCTGTTTTGTACCTACCACTTAGGCATTTTACAGCCATACCATCCTGAACGTGCCTGATCTCATCTTTTCCTTGTTTTATTTTTCTACTCTTCTATTAATGCTTCTTGAATCATCTCCCCCCAAATCTACTTATATCCACATACTTATCTCAAGGCCTGTTTCTGGGGGACCCAACCTAAGACAGAAATTCAAATCACACAGACTTGACTTACACTAAAAGTAATATTAAAATTTGGTGGCGAAAAGACAAACTTTTTGGCCAATGAGGATTTAGAAACTGCCTCACTATATGGAGGAAAGTAAAACTTATACCCTATACAAAGGTAGGCTGCAAGTGGATTAAGATCTAAATATAAAGGGTAAGATTATGGAATTAATAGAAAAGATTTTCTACTGGGAAAATATCTTTGTTAGCTAGGGGCAGGAAAAGACTTCTTAAATAAAACTTCAGATATAAATCATAGGGCCAAAAATATGATGAATTGAACTGCATTAAAAATAAAGATTCCTTTCAAAAAAAGATTCTGTGGATAAGAGATTAATTTTAGAAAACCTAAGAAATCCTATTAAATCATTTAGATAAAGATGGGAATCCAAAGTAAAAACAGTCAAGGGATAGAACAATTTAAGACGAAACCTAAAAGACCAACAAGCATCTAACATGCTGTTCAAATTCATTACTAATAATGAAATGAAAAATAAAACAACAACAAAATGTCACTCTCCACCCAATTATCTGGGCAAAAAACAATTGAAATTTAGATAATGGCAAGGGTCAGCAAGGATGTGGGGTGAAAGGACCCTCATGAATTTGTGGTGAGAATGTCAACTCTGGAGCCATCTTGAAAGCAGCCTAGATATCCCCATGATCTAGCATTACCTTTCCTGGGTACCTAGCCCAAAGATACTCTCCTTCAGATCCCTATGTGGAGGACAGATGCAAGGAGGCAATGGAAGGATTGGAGGGAACCCTGCTGTCTATCATCAGGGAATGTGTAGGCAACATGCGTGGGTGCACATTGTAGAGTATTCTACAACAGTTCGGAGAAGCACACTAGAAGTACCCAGTAACATGGATAGATCTCAAAGTATAGCATTAGAGAAAAAAAATAAGAAAATACCATATATGTGCACAAAACAAGATTTTCTAGGACCTAAGCAAATGGAGGTTCCACCTCAGCTACATTAGAAGAGTTGCCTACAGGAGGATGGAATAGGAGTAGGAGCTGGAAATATAGGTGATAATTCCAGCAAGTCCAATGGTGATAGTGTGCTGTGAACCAAGGAGAATACCCTTTGTGCCTAGCCACCCCAGCAGTACATATAAGGGGGATGACACGATAGATAGTGAGTGCCAAGCACTAAACAGTCTTTAATAGCATAGAAATCCATAAAGTCTGTTACAAGGATGTTTGCTTTGCTATATCATAATATACACTAGACAAATATAAACAAGATGAAAGATAATTTAGACAACAAATAATGTATAATACAGAAATAGTTATTTTAGCTTGAAATCATCTACATTTCGGTGGGAAATTTCTGAAAAAACATTTTAGATGATAATGCTGGGCAAAACTCAGAGATGTAAAAGCCTTATAAATTCTCTTAGAGAAAAAAATATTTAAAGGAGTTAAGATGCTAAGAATACTAGAAACATAATTTCAACCCATATACGGAGAATTAATGGACTGGAAAGATGAATAAGCAGCATCTATCTGTAAAAAACAAAAATGCCAGTTACATGTTAATACATTTCCAAACATTCATCAATGGGCTCTACAGAGCACTCGAAAGCAATTAGTGGCACTTACAACCATTAGGGCCGGTATATGAGTAAAACGAACAAATGCTTGCCCAAAGGGAGAGCAGGAGAACAATGTTGCTGTGCCTTTTTGTAAAAAGGAGAACAAAGCCTGAAAAGCTTCGCAATTATCTCTTCATTTGATTAATTGGCGTTTTTTTCTTATTCTGATGTTTTTATTCAAACAATTTTGATGTACTCACTAGTTAATCTTGTGGCTCAAGAGCTCTCTGTTCCTGGACAGGGCGATCTCACACAGATGCACGGTCTGCTCTTCCGGTGGACGGCTCTCCCCTGAGCATGGCGTGTCTCCAGTACCTAAGCACCACAAAAATTTCAGGAGGAGCCACTTTTTCCTACCCTGCTAAATCACTAGAAACACCATTTGGAGCTAATCTGTTAGAACTTGGTCACAATTCAAAGCTTAAATTAAAATTGTAGATCACAATTCAAAGCTTAAATTGTTCAGTGGTAGGTCATAATTCAAAGCTTGAAAGGTATTGTTTTTTGGCTTAAAGCTTAAATTCAAATTCAAAATTAAATTAAATTAAATTAAATTCAAAGCTTAAATTAAAATCACAGGTCACAATTCAAAGCTTAAAAGGATATCGTTTTTTGCTTTCCCTTCTCAATGGACTTCTCATATTTCTTCCACAAGTTCAATTAAGTTTAGTTCAATGAGATTTATCAAACACTTATTCTGGGCAAGTTAGGTATGGCATAGCCCCTGCCCTCAAGACGTTTATCAGTGTGTGTGTGTGTGTGTGTGTGTGTGTGTGTGTGTGTGTGTTTCCACTCATGATTCCAGGTTGGTGTGGCATGGAAGAGGGAGCAGTGAGTAGGCACAAGGGACAAGTGGAATAAAACAATTCCCAAATATCTGTGATCTATAGAGATGACAAGTTCTGTGAAGATAAAAAGGAGAGAGACATAAATGGCTTATGTTTGTGATAATATTGGACACATTTGTTAATTTCTAAATTAGAGAATCATATTATATTTTAGGATATGTTCATCTTGGAACCAATAAGGAGCCTGAGAAATTATGACCAGAGTGTGATAATCCCCACCGCCTCAGTTTGGTGGGAGACTGGAAATTAAATGAAACTGATCAACAAAGGGTTCTGCAACTAGAAAGGGACCCCTGAGATGTTAAGCCATAAACAGGACTCCACCTAAATGATCTCAGACAGGCAAGAGTCAGTACCATTTTTTTTCCAACCCCATTTTAAAAGGCCACCAAAGAAATAAATGTCATAAACAACTTCAGACATCCGGCTTAGTGCTTAACTTCTCAACACGGTTTTAAAAATGATTAATCTGTCTTGTATCACAGTTTAAAATCTTTCAAGTTTTCTTTTCAGCACGAAAGTTGAGAATAGCGAGTTGCCAACTGTAACTCAATAAACCTTTTCTAATGCTGGCTCCTTGGTAGCAAACTGGTAGGTTGCTCTTGTGTAAGAGTTTTTACTGCATGCTATTTAACATGCTATTTATAATTTAGCACTTATGCTACTGTCATTTCATTTAGATGGTGTGGTTAGATTTATGTGTCGTAAAGAACCACATGATTGCAGGGTGCTCCTTAATTCCTAGGCCATTTTTAAGTCACCGTTCACAATTCTCAGGCTGAAGAATCCAGCAAGTTTTTCCCACAATGTTTGAAGTGCCTTTAAACACTCTGATAATCCCTACAAAACAGAACTTTGATTACTATTATGTAGGTAACTTGACTTTGTAAAATCTGCTTCCCATTTTCTGCTTCCCATTTTCTGCTGTTTTCTGTCTATCTTCAGAATGTAATTCGCATTTTTGTTTTCTACAGATAGGTGCTGCTTGTTCATCTTTCCTGTCCATTGGTTCTCAGTCTCAGGTAATTCCAGCTGGAACTGTTTTGTAATAATGTGGGCATTGGTGTGGTGCTGAACACGCCATTAATCCCTTTGGATCTGCCATTACTTTATGGGCTCATTAAAACATGCCAACATATTAGAAATTATCACATTATCTACAGGTAGTATTCAGAGCTATGATCTTACATTGTAAAGTGCTAGGACTTTTATTTCTAAATAAAATAGATTTGCAGATAATACATACCTATTTTGCAAAGTAAAATGCTGATTTCAAAATCAAATTCTGCGTTAGGTTAGACATAATGTGTCTATTGCTGTATTGGGGAATAATATCCCGTCCCTCAGTGGATTTTGAAGCCCAAGGAAGGGGAAACTTACAGAATCAGACTTACAGAGGTCAAAGTATCATTGTAACTGAAAAGTCAATTTGTAAATGTGGCCTTGGAGCTGATGCCAAGTGTGTTTACTAGAAGTATCCCCAGAATTAAACTGTGTTAGACAGTAACTTGAGGCCTCCCACCAGAATCAGCTTTCCTACCACAGGGAAGAGACCTGACAAGAATAGCTGGCCAGAGAGCTGGTTCCCTAAGAGGAGAGGGCTGAATGGAGCATGCCCAGTCTCCTTCTGTCAATCATCTCTCAGGTAACTCACTCCTCTTCCCATAGGAAAGAGTTAAGAGGGGGTGGGGAGAGAGGGATGTTAGTCTAGCTCCTGTACGTGGAAACATGAGGAGTGGCATGTAAGTGGGTACTCCTCACACCATCTGTCTGCAGCTCTGTCTTTGAGTTAGGCACAGCAGTGTTAGCTAGCCTTCGTGTCTTGACTTTTTAAATCAGTGTCACTATACTTCTGGATGGAGAAGAGGGTTTAGCAGGGGTTCAGTCTCACCCTTTCAGAACAATCAGCTATGTGCCTTGGGCCTATCTGTTACATAGTTTGGACAAGGTTCCATGTCCTCCATAGCCCTTCTGGAATGTCACTGTGGCTGGTGTGGAGACAGACAGCCTTGTATAAGGCTATGTTTCTTCTGCCTCAAGCCATCCCTTGGTCTGCAGAGGATCACTTGAAGGAAGTAAGAAGCAACACCAGAATCATAATAGGTGACCTGTTTATGAATAGTAATTCAAATTACTTTAGGAGCATTGATGGCTATGTAACATATGATGGATATGGAATACAAGCTTTTACATTGTATTTAAAATTCAGGAACACCCTCAGAATCTTTTTTATTTCTGCAGTACTAAACAGACAAATTTTAAAGCACTCATCTAAACACTATCAGGATAAACTAAGTTTTCATTGAATTCAAATACTATGTACATTTTGAGGAGAGGTTGCTAAATTTATTATGGAATGTTTTACATTACCTGATGCAATTTTTAAAAATCATTCATTTTCACATTAATTGTTATTTTATTTTTATGTGATTATCTGAATAGTGCTTCAAAACAGTTTACCAAGTAGAAAATAAAGGATCTTTAAGGTCTAAAACTAAACAATAAAATATTAAATATTAGTATAAAATAATCCCTTAAAATATAGTTGTAGCTAATTAAATAATGGCTTCATGTGAAGTGTTGCTGGAGAAAACATAATTTGTTTTGAAACTTTTTCTGTCAAACTTCAATCTTGTTGCCAAGCCTCTATCCAGCTTAGAATATCTTTTCTAAGGAGATACTCATATGTTTGAATTTATTCTTCTTCAAATTAAGAGACCCATCTTTGACAAATGATATCACTAGATAGTTTTGTTATTGTTTTGTGTTTTGCAGCATTTCTAAATGGGCCATAAAAAAGGAGTTTTAGGGATTTATTTCCAGATTTTTATGGGGTGACCTGTGTCTCCATCCCTGAGGAGAAACAGTGAGAAAGGATGTGTCAGTGTTCACACTATTTGCTCTCTCACCCGACTCCCAGACATAGCTGTAACAGTCAATACCAATTCCACACAGGCATACCTAAAGGCCAGAAGACCTAGTTCGCAGGCCACATTCGACCAACTGCTGGATACATGTGGTGTTGGGCAAATGACAGTGTCTTGAAACCTTACTTCTTTTATATATGAGAATAGCAGTTCCTCTCCTGTATACTCTACAGCTGTGTTTTAAGGACAGAATGTGAATTATGTATGTGAAAGTGTTTTGAAATTTATTGAAGCACTATATAAATATGAGCCATTTAATCTTATTAATAAATAGCCTATCAAATTGCATTGCAGGCAAACAAGTAGAAGAGAGCAAAACAAACCTCCGATGCCAGGAGAGGAAGTTGTTTCATGACTCCTAACTGCATTCCTAACTACAACCAACCATGTTAAGCATGCACTATTGTTCAAAAGTTGAGGATATAGGTGGCCCTGAACAATGCTTTTGATATGTCTTCTAAATGATGAGTAACTACAGCTGTAAATCAAGCTTTACAGGTCACACATTTTTAATGCTACCATTGTTAACTAATTGCTATGTACCTGGCACTGTACTAAGAGCTTTAACCACATTTAATCCTTCCAAGAGCTCTCTGCAGCAATGTTGTCATCCCTGATTTATGGGCGAAGAGACCGAAGTTTACAGAAGTTAGGTAACCAGCCCAAAGTAACACAGCTAATAAGGAGCAGGATGAAATTTGCACTGCTATAGAGTTGTAGGCTGCTCAGCTCCATAGCCCCTGTTTTTAACCACTGGTTCTATCACCCCCATGGATCCAGATCTTCATTACTTCCAGTGTGCATTTATTAAGCAATTATTTGTTCATGGTACTACTGTGCTAAGTTCTGTGCAAAGTAGGTTTTGCCCCTGCTTGTCCATTTGTGCGATTCCTCACCACACCCAGCTGGCTGCTAAACACAGGGAGCCCTGCCCTACTTCTGCACTCAGATGCTTGAAAACCTGATCCTGGGGTGTGCAGTCAGCAGACTGGAAGGGTGGTAACTCAGATTAGGGCCCATTCATGGCTTCTTCCCTTCCCACTCCCATTGTTTGCAAGTAGTTGCAGGATTTTCAAATTAGCCAATAATGAGTAATATTCAGTGAGGCTCAGAGCTTTCGCATATAGATCCAGGCTTTGCTACATACTGGGAAGAATAATCCCTCTTTTGGTGCTGCCCGAGTTACTGTCAGTCATAGAATTCCATGAAGTCTAAGCAAGTACTGAGAACTATGTGTCCGAGAACTTAGCCCTCCACAAAGGAGAACTTAATTAGTGCACATATACAGCACATTGCATTTTTTCCCCCCTGATTGGAAGGAAGGTTTTACTTTTAGGAGCCAAGTTATCGTCATGAGAGAAATTGAGGGATTCCAATAGCGTTTCAGTGGGTCTCAGGAAGGATTCTATTGTGGGTAATTGGAACATTGGTGTGTCCCTAACATTCAATGGTTGTATCTTCTATGCAAGTGTTGTTAAATCAGAAGCACAGCTGGTGTGTCTTCTCATTTCCATTAGGCATCCAATGCATTGGAGGAACTTTGCTTCACAATTATGGGGACTCTACCAAAACCCCAGGTAAGGTTGAAACAGTGTTTTATTTGTAGGGAAAAAATTGCCCAGTGGCATCTTGGAATTCCTACTAGAGGAAAATACACCCAATTTAAAAAGTAAGCCAAGAGGAGCTTGAAGAGAGTAGGCTGATTTGGGGTAAGAAACAAATACTTCAGTTTCTCTGATATCTGAGAATTTAAGGTCATATCCATGGAGTTTACAAGCATCAATTGGAAAGTTATATGTCCCTGTGAAGTATCTACTTCTGATGAGAGAAATATGGGTTCATTTGGCTCCTTTTCTCTCCCCAACTCACTACAATTGGAAAACAGATGCATCTTCTTTGCTAGAAAGACATTAAGAATGCAAAAAAAAGCAAACTATATTGTTAATGTCAGTTTGAAAATTATATTCTTATTGTGATGCCTTGGTTTCTAATTAAAATTACTTGATTCTTCTGGGAGAACTTTTTTGTTCTGAAGTGAAGATAGGAGGAAATGTGAAAAATAGCATAAGGTACCATACTTTATTTTATATTCTATATCTTATAGATGTACTTATTTTAAAACTCTTATTAAGTGTAAGGCCTCAAGTTTAGAATTATATTTCTCATTAGCAGTTCTAGTTTAACCATGACTATTGGTACATTTTGTCATGCCTTTCACATACAAAAACTAAAAGAAAACTTGATTTTGTGAAACCATAAATGTTTTCTGAAAGTCAGTATTTTTTACTGTATTTTTTCCAGTGTTTTTAATAGTGACATTTTCCAAAACTTTTTCTTCTGATTAAAATAAAAGAAATGACAATGGTGTTTATCCCTGAGTTTCCTCTTATATTAAAAGTAAATGAGAACCAAAAAGAACAAAAACATCAAAAAGAATGATATGGTTCATTTGTAAAAACAGATTTTTGGAGGGGGAGGGGAATATAGATAGGTTTATAAAAGAAAGCAAAAATAACTTATAATCTTATTATTTAGTGATAACAACTACAAATACTTTCATGTGATTCCTTCTAGTCTGTTTCTCTGAATATTCTATATGTAATCATATCATTCCCATCCACCACTGTTGAACTTGTAGGATGTTTCCATTTTTTTCACTCATGAATAATGCTGCAGTAAGGACCTTGTGCACCATGAACAGTCTTTAATTTCTCATTCATTTTTAGAGCAATATATACTTAACCAATTTCAGTATTATAATTTACATGTAATATGTCATATGTTTTTAAAACTTAATGAAAATTTCACATTATAAATTTTATACTATATAGTACACATAACATACATTATCATTTTATGTTATGCATACTATAATGATAGTTACATATCTTTTTTCAACAGGAAACAGATGAAAAAATAAATACCAAAAGGGTAAGGTGATTTCCATAAACATATACATTAAAAATAATGAAGTAAAGCACTAATCCTCTACAGTAAAGCTCATTACTTTTTTTTAACAGTTCTTATTTCATTATTCCAAGACACGGAAGTTGGGCAATTCAAATGCTGTGGTAAGTTGATGGATTAATTCATGGTAATTCTTATGAGTAATGACTGGTATTTTTTCCCAAACCTGTTTTTGCAGTTTATCTAATAGAACTAGATTAAAATTCTTTTATTTTTACTTTAAAAGTTTATACACACATGAACAAATAGCATTCACATTTATTACACATTTATTTTATATCTCAATAACTACATGCATATTAAAATCATTCATTCATTCAGCAATTATTCACTGAGTATCTGCTATGTGCTAATCACAGCTCTAGATACTAGAAATATAGCTGTAAATAAAATAGAAGATTAAAAAAGAAATCCCTGCTGTCATGACCTACATTCTAAAGGCCAATAAATTGAAACAAAACAAAAAAAACCCAAATAATTAAGTAAAACATGTTGTTTTAGATGATAATTAGTGCAAGTGAAAATAGTTTTATCCAAAGCCATTTTATCAATAATTTTAAAAGATGATTGTCAAAAGTATAATTAAATATAACTAGAAATATCCATTTCTATTCCTAAGATCTCCTTATTTGTAATTAGGCATTTAGTGTGAGAATTTACTGAGATTAGCTAGATGCCAATAACTTGAATTCAGTTCACTTCTAAGTTGTGATTTAGTGGTAGTTTTTCTTTTTATGCATGGCTTTTAAAAATGCTAATGAACTTACTTTGGTGTTCCAATTAGAATACTTAATAATTCACTATAATAATCATTCTAAGCTTGTGAGTCGCTACCATGGACCAATCCAAGACTGAGGAGCACAGTGTATTTTAAACTAGTATGTACCTGTGGAAAGGGAACTGTAATCTTAAATTCAGTGTTAAAGTTCATCATATTGAATATTTTACTTATGAGGAGTTTAAAGTTAGGTTATACTGGCTTTAAAAAGCAAATGCAAGTTGAATTGGTTAACAATGGTAATCCATCTGATGAGTGGTTTTAATATTTGCAAGAAGGTTCAATTCAAGCCATGCCTTTAAAATGAAACCAAAGCAGGTAGCCACATGTCTCAAATATGCTTTCATTTTCTTCTGCTTGCATCTTTACATTTTGAGAAAATGTATCTTAGTCATATTTTTCACTATCAACAACACATCGTCATTTGTTGTGTCCCCTGTCGTCTTGTTCCAATGTCGAATTTTAAATAAACTATATAATTTATAAAAGAGATTACTAGATGTGTGTACAGTATAATCTTCTAGAGAAACATTTTCATAATAAAAAACTGATTCTCCCATCATCTACCCCCCATCATCGTGAGTAAGTCTGGAAGCAGACACTGCTGCTTGCCCGTCAGAGATGCAGGCGGGTGTTTTGCTTCTTGGCAGCTCCAGGTGGACTGACGCCCTCAGGAAAGTGCTTCATCAACCTAATGGCCAGCCAAGATCCTAGCATAGAGCGACTAAATTTCAGTCCATCTCTTGGTTTATTCTCCACAGTTCTTTGAAGTGCTCACAAAAGGCTGTCTGAGATAACATCTTTCTTGTTCTGTTTGGTCTGGAGCAAGTGTAGCGGGTAAAACAAAGAAATAGGAAACTGTCTTTATGCCCAATGCTGAGAAGCCTCTGTGCTCATCGTGTGTGTGTTCGTGTCTCTCAGTCGTCTGTCGTGCATCCGTTGCTGCAGCTCGTTCCTCAACTGCATGAGAGAAGAATGAAGAGATTCAAAGTGGACGTATGTAAACAAACTGCATGTTTGCTTTGCCACTGTGTGTGGGGCGGCTCTTCTGTTAACTCCCAGTTGTGTTTCATAAGATGCTCTTCGCAGGATAAGCCCCATGTAAACAGTCAGGTAGCCTCAGAGCATCCGGTTCCCAGAGTGGTGTCACACTCAGGAAGAAAAATTTGTTTCCCTTCCCCTTAGTATGGTCCTTCTATCTCAAGTTAGGAGCAGTGAAGAAATCTGGGGTTAGATTCCCTTCCCAGTGAGGAAACCTATTCTTGGTTTAAGTAAGGACAGAGCCAGTGTGCCTAGTTTCTAGGTAGGAAAAGAAGAAAAAAAGCAATTCACTGCCCCTTTGTATACAGGTTAGCAAAAGGCTGGGATGGCAGTCTTTCTATCCAAGTATTAAAGGGTTAGTAAAAGTAATACTTTAGGCTCAAGAAATCAATATATCAGAAACTAATTGTGGGTGTCTTGTCCAAAATCAGTATCTATGTTTAAGATAAATACAACTTTGTTAACTGCTTTTTAAACTAGAAATTGTGTTTATATTGTTATTTTAAAACAATGTTAACTCTTTCGATGATGGAAGTTTCTAGGTATTATTTTTAAGTAATGCCCCAGATTGTTACAATGCATTATAGTTTTCAGTCTTATTTTTTCTTTTGGCAACTCTGCTGGTGCTTACATAAATAGTGTTATCCTCAGTTTACTAATGGGAAAACAACTCAGAATGGGTAAAGGTGACCCCAAGATCATTCTAGCAAGTGAGATTAGAAATTACAATAAATTCTTCTAACTTTCTAGTCTTGGCAAATATTTTGTTTTTGCTATACCATTTCTTTTATAGTCTAATCTTGGATACTTCTATTATTTTATTGTTATATTTTCCCTTAATTTAAATGCCATCTTAATTCTATTCTTCTTTATGTACTACCAAAAGTCTTCAAATACTTTGAAAAATGCATACAGTTTAGAAAAAAATTCCTCAAAATTTATTTTTCTGGTCATTATTTCCTCCCTAAATTCTTCACATTCTTAAACTAACCTTCTAAGGAAGTTAGTATCTGCTGCCAGCTTGAATGAGAAATGTAAGAGAAATTGTAGTAGCCCCTTAAAATTGTAGAATTTCCAGTGTGAAAAGAATCAAATCAGTTATTATCAAGCTTTCTAGAAGTAATATACACTTTTTTGTATTAAATTCAACTCTCTGAAGTTTGCTTGGCTCATGAATAGTGTAAAATTTCAATTTAAAGATTCAGTTTCTTAAAATATATCAGCAAATTATGAGTTTACTATATCACTTCATATCATATTTACAGACGACTAGCTAAAAATATAAATTGTGACTTGGTAGTTATGTTCTGTTTGACAAAGAATAACTCCTATATTGCAGCAAGACAAATTTCCTAGGAACTACAAAAGAAAAGAATGTAAGCCATGAATAGAAAAATAAAATTACAGTACTGTTAGCTTTGCTGAATCTAAGTCACCTAATTTCAAACATATTTTTGATAGTGAAGTATTTGGGGTTCTTAGGGAAAAGGAGTTTTCAGATCCTAGTGCAATTCCAACACTTTTCTTAAATTTTGTTTGCTAGACATCCTCACTTCCTTTCCCACAAATTCTCTTTATATACTATTGTCTGTCCAATGATAAGATTAAAACAACCTGTATATTTGGATGTGAAAGTTTTTAATTTTAGCATGTTTTAATCTACATTTTGTCCTCCTTTTCTTTTTCCTCGTATAATCATATAAATGTATAGTTTCTATGTGTACATTTATAAATATGAAAAATTTCAATCTTTTAAGTAATTTGAGTGGATTTATGATCAGGATGAGAATTAGGTATAAAATATTGAATATTTCAGATATATTTGTTGTAAAGCAGGGACTTCAGAATTTTAATAGATGTCAGAGCTATTTCTTAGAATTTAAAAATATTATTTTACTTACATTATGGAATAATTGCAGGTCTTGTTGACAAATTTTATGGTGATTGCCATCATGATATTTTATAATAGGTAGTAGATGAAAATAAGAACTTATTGATATAAGAACCAATTTTCTGGAAAACATAGAATGTTACGTATTTTTCCATTAAGTTTAAAATGAAATAAATGTTTTGAGAAAAGAAACACTTCAAAATATACCCACTATGGATAATTGGTTTGTTCCTATTTGGTATTGTTTTCATTACCATTTCTATAAATATAATTAGTTTGGGAAAATCTCTTCTGAAGTCTCATTGAAGAAATATAGTTTACCAAAGTTGTTCCTCAATTTCTATTTAAATTCCTATAGAAACATTGTGTAGTTTAGCTTAGACACAATTCTGTATTTTTTCCTGTTGTTGTGCTAGCACATAAAATATGTATTTAAAAGAAATTATTTTGTTCTAACAAAATGCTAAAAGGAGATTTTACATATAGTTAATTATGAAGTTATTGGCATTTCTCTTTCTACTTATTGATGAATATATATTGTGACAAATTTCCTGCAAATAGAATATTTATATTAATAAGGAAATTATTTAAAAATATAACATTCTGCTGATACTGATAGTTTTGGGAAATTCTTCAGGTGGAAATACAAAGATTAGCTATTGTTATGAATTATACATTCAAGTCCTTGAGTCCCTCTTTGTTTAATTATGATAGTTGAAAATAACTTTGAGCTTCACAATATTCTCAAGAAGAGTATGCACTTATTACTGTTATTTGATTTCTAATGTTCTTATTTTCAATTCCAGGAAGAATTACAAGGTCCTATTGCAAGTCAAAGACGAAGCTACTTTTTATTCAGGGTATGCGCATACTGTATTTTTAAAAATCAATTAATATCAAAATTAAAAAATACTTTAACTTGAATTCATTTACATTAACTCATATGAGTTTTGAAGTTTATTCATAGATAATTGACATCAAGTGCCATAGTCTGAGATTCACTTCTGTCACCAACGTATTGCTTTAATATTGTGGTATCTATAATCTCTTCTCTAATCTACTACTCATATTTGTAAATGCCCCAGTGACATTAACTTATTTGGAGTTCCACAAAACCTAGTTCCACAAAATTTCATGTGTAGGAAATGAGCGTCTTAAAGATGTATCACTCCTAAATTCTAAGGACTCATTTACTAAATGTTTATTTGGTAGATTAAAAGAGTTATGACTAAAAAATATAAAAGAGATTTGAGTATTTTCACAAGGTTTTAAAAGTAAAAGAATCAACTACAATAACTAGACAAAACTTTGTCATTGCATTTAGTATTTTGCATGTCCAAATTGTCTATGAAATGTTTCTTTCTAAGCGGCTATACTTTCTAAAATGTCTGTCCCCCTAATTATCAGAAAGTTTTCATCCATTCATTCAGCAATTATTTATTGAATTTTTACTGGGTGCTAAACAATCTATCGAAGGCTGGGAATATAAAGTCAGATAGGATTCTATTCTTTTGCTCTAGGAGTTTACATCCTAATACAGGATATTGCTAAATAAATAAATAAATAAATAAATAATACTATGTTAAATGCGCCTTCAATCCAGGGGCAATGGTTTCTAAAAGAAAGTAAGTGACCCAGGCTGGGGAGTGAAGAAGGTACAGAGAGACTTAAGAGCTGAGTTTGAAGAATCAACAGGAATTAGCCAATGAAATATTTAACTAAGGAATTTCAACTTTATTGGTAGAGGTAATGAGATCCATATGGAAAGAATTGCATTTTGGAAACTAATTCTAACAACAAATTGGAGAACGAATTGAAGGAGCAAGACTACATAGAAGAAATAAGACCATGCATCAAGATCATCATTAGGCTGATTTCTATGACAATTTCCCTCCTTAGTTTCAGTGTTTTATTACTAATTTGTTATTTTTCAGCCACGCAATGGAAGATCAGAAGGTTACATTTGAAATGGTATGTAGTTCACAATTCAACCCAGTTTGAAATGTTCTATCGTTTTCATGTATTCATAAGTGAAACTATGCTCAATATATTTCTCTTACTTGATTGCATATATACATTAATATTCTATAGAAATACTACAATTAAAGCAGCTATGGGGGCTATGTGATTAGATATGCCAGTACTGGGGGGCCAGGTTTACCATGTTGTATCTCCCTCAGGCCATGCCACAGGTGATTTTACAGACATTCACTTCACCATCATTTGTTGTGCAACTACGTGTAAGGGATGGTGTTCTCACCTTGTTAATCAGTGTCCACAGGAATGGGTCAGAACTTATAGAATGAATGCATTTCTGTCTTCCAAATGATTCATTTTCAAAGATTCTTTATAAAAGCTGTGATTTACTATTTCTAGAGGATAAAAAGATGTGGAAGACATAAGAGCATCACTTCTACTTTGGGATTCCCAGTTCCTGCTTCAATGAGGAGATATAGTAGACTCTTGGTGGCTATTTAATGGCCCTACATATTTAATAAATATGTTAATTCGAATATCTTATTAAGAAAGAATTTTTAAATTAATGCCAAATGCAAATTGATAAATTTGTAACACAGAAATAAAAGTATATTCTACTATATGTAATCCAAAATGCAGATTTTGTGCTGAAACATATAGAGTCCAGCACAAATAACACCCCTCGTTTATTACACAAAATTTTTTTATTACAGAATCATAAGCATGTAATTCTATAACATAACAATATCACACTCAAGCACACCATATGACAGTTTAGGTGAAATTCTCCAATTGCTGTCCATCTTGTGTGAGACATTCAGAAAATACTGAGCATTAAAACTTTGTATTTTTTCCATTACCATTTAGTCCCCTTACACACCCCTCCCCGAGCAATCACCACACCACTGTCCATGTCCATGAGTCCTTTCTCCTTTTTGCTGAATCCCTCCACCCTCTAACCTCCTCCCATCCAGCTGTCATCCTGCTCTCCACCTATGAGTTTGTCCCCATTTTCAGTTTATGTCAGGAACAAAGCAAAGATGCTCTGTCAACTTTTATTTAATGTGGTTCTTATGCATTAGCCAACTGATTTGGACAAGAAAGAAGTAAAAGTTACAAATAAGAGAAAAGTGGGGAAAAATTTAATGTGCTCATGGGGCACACTTAGGGATTTAGATATTCAAACTATTTCTGGCATTACTGGTATTAAAGCCTGTTATGTTCATATCAGAAATATAAGCCAACATATTCTTAATTTTTTCTTTGTTCAAGGAACTAAAAAAAAGAGTTAATTGAAAAAAACTTTCATAATTTTACAAATGCAGAGGTATTTACATAATATAAAAGTTTAATTCTAAATGTGAAAAAAATCTGTGATTGTAACATCAAAGTAAGTATTAGAGTGCTCACAAATGTAAAAATAGAATAATCTATGATTTGCTCAATTTAGTAAAAAGTTCCCTCTAAAGCCAAGAAAATAGTTTTATTTTGGATTATTTTCAAAATTAGGGTCTACATAGACTAGTTCACTTGGGATTTCTTTTATTTGTGTCAGTAAAAAAACAGTTGAGTAATTACTTTTTCATTGTTTTTCTCATCTGATTATCTGAGGTCTTACTTTGTTCAGATGAGTTATATTTACTTATAAACTATTATACATAATAGGATGATTTAATCCATATACATAAGGAAATAAATATTACATGAGGAATAACTATGTAAATTTTGAAATGTTGCACTCAAAAGTTTTGATGGTATCAATGTTCTTTAGGAAACCACTTTTATATAGTTAAATACTGTAAAATTTTAGAAGATACAGTCATAACAAAGTAAAATTTTCCATCAAAGAGATTAAATGATAGCTAAAACTATACACACTGAGAAAATCTGAGAAATACCTCAGATTTCAGTTTTATCATACATGATGAAATATTCATAGAAACTTCTATATACATTACAGGGTACAGCACAAATAATGCCCCCTTTTTATTACAAAAGTGTTTCATTACAAAATCATAAGCATGTAAATCTGTAACATAACAATATCACAGTCAAGCACACCATATGACATTTTAGGTGAAATGTTCAAATTAAAACTGTAAATTATTACACCTATATTATTATTATTACGCTACCAACCACACTCAAAGAGGCGTTACTTCGGCTGGACCCTGTATATACACATTCACATACTCATTTGTCCTTGAATATAAATTATTTTTTTCTCTTTTTACAGGATACCAGCTATTTTCTACAGAAGCAGTGCCATGGAATATAAAATATACTGATATTTTTTGTTTCCTTCTCAAAAACAATCTTTGCCAAGTTTAACATGTTTGAATATTCCTGTATTGTGAACATTCTCAGTAAAAGTTGGCTGAGACTGTAAATATTTAATTTGTTCAAAATTAAAAAGCATCTTAAAATCTTTTTTGTAGTGTTGTAAGGATAAATAATGTATAATAAAGCTATAAATTATGATTTTTCTTAGATCCCTGCAGCTTTTGACAGTACATGTTATTTTGTTATTTTTATTATAGGCATTCAGTAGAGAATTGAGTTTTAATGAGCTATTTTAGTTGATCCTATTTGGATTTTGCCAGTGACAAAATCACCAGCTCTTATAAATACCAAATAAACCTGCTGGAGGAATACCAACTAAACCCATTGGGCAGTTTGGCCATGATCCATTCATTAGTCCAATAAGCAAGTTCTGATTTATAGCCTGTAAAATTGATGTCTGATTGCTACAGACATATCAAGGGACTAGCTTTTTTTACCAACTAGTAGTATTCACTTTATCTTAAAATAAGTTGTTTTACCTTGCAACATCTGGAAGGCAACCAGTCTTGTCCATTCCTAGAGAGAAAACAGTCTCAGACGATCATGAATACACTGGAATAACTTTTTATGTCAAGTCAGGGTTTGGTGGACACAGAATTAACCTCAGATGGATGCCGAGACTATCTCCCTTCAGGTTTCCTGGGGTTTTTCCTTTCTGACACCCCCACTCTTGCATAACCACCCTACTCAGATTGCTGGCTGATTAGAGAGGGGTGGCTCTCTGAGTGTATAAGATTAGAGCTTATATTCTTCAGAGTAGAGTATCTGACAAATCTTTGTCTTATTAATGTTGACCACTGATTACAACTTAAATTATGCCTTATACTAATAAAGTCCCTGAATTTCACTTCTCAATCAAGCACATAGAAAAAGAATGGAGCAGAATAGGACAAAAAGTACGGCCAGCTTTGAAAAATGAATAGCTGTGACAAGATGGGGTCTTGAAAGCCGAGAGGGCCTTGGGCTCTAAAGCAACAGATGCACAGGGTAACATTAGGTAGTGCTATGCACAGTAATCAGCTAGCATGAATTTTGGATAGTCAAAATAAGAAAATGGAGTGGAATACTAACTTAAGCAGCAGTTCTCAGAGCCTCTCAGAATGCCAGAGACTTGGGCCACTTACCTGTTTTGGGGCTCACATGATATTAAAATAAAGAAGAAATACCCAAATATGGTTACAAAATGTGGAATGTTTTAAAATATTTTATATTTGACACAATATCTTACAAACACACAAGGAAGCAGATAGGCTACTGGGAGTATAGGCTTTGTTTGTGTTGAGTATTAACTGAGCTCTACAGATGGAGATGGAGCCTGGGCTCAGCATCGCATCCTTAGAAACATTTCTGTCTTTTTGCCCCAAAATCCTATCAGTGTGTCTCTGTGACCGTGTGTATATAAGCTTCTTGGGTAATGCCATCAAATGTTTACCCTATGATCCTGGCAGCTCCCACTAAACAGTTCCTTAACCTAAACACCAGGGAACCCACCTATCTAGGTTTCCTACCTAAAACCAGAGCTCCTGTCGCCTCACACAGTGCGTTGTTAAGATGGGGGTGGAGTGCCACTGGAGAACCTGTCCATCTGGTCTGTAACTCCCGCCACCCCTCCCCCAAATTGTATACATACAACAAAAATTATGTGTACAGTTGGGGCCTGGGGGTTAGGTATCCCCTAAAATCCATCCAAATACAGGCTATGGGCTCCTAGTTAAGAACTTCTCTGAGGGGTTCTCTCCCCAGGATTTTGTTATTACTCCGTGAAGATAGGATTGCAGGGTGATAGAGGGCTCGGAAACAATGCGTTGATTTGGTGGTGGTGTAGGGAAAGGTGGGAGGAATGGCAACATCAACACCACTCGGTAAACAGGAAAGGCACACTTGGAGTAGGTACCCCAACATCTAGAGCGTCAGGACCCGCAACCACCCCTGGCCGCGGCTCCGCGTTGCCTGGCAACCCAGCTGCGCTGGGCTCGCGTGCGTAAACGTGCGGAAGAGGCCCTTGCTCTCCCCTCCCCCTTCGGGTGGTGGTGACAACCGCTAGGTCTGCTTGGGTCTCTGTCCCCGCCTAGAAGAGACGTCTGAGGCACGAATCCCTCGGCAAGGGTCGGTTGGCACCATCGCGGGAAAATAGAGACTGAACGTCATGCAGGTCAGAGTCCCAGGCCAAAGGCAGTAGGGGGCACCCTGCAGGGTCCCCGACTGGGCCTGAGGCAGAGTGGGAATGGGGAGGGCAGCCCACAAGGGTTGGGTTTTAACATTTAGTTTTGGTAAGAGCTAAATTTTACGTGCATCTCGAGATTGAAGAGAAATCCAAATAAACTCTAACAGAGTACCATTTTTTTTTCAAGGTTTGTCGCTGGAGGTTAGTTGTTTGGGATTGTGTTTACACCTCTATCTTGAAAATCTTAAGGCTGCACTACTTCTGACTTACAAATAGACCAGCAACTTCAGTCCAAGTGTAATTCAGTTTAAATATCCCACCCCACAACCTTAAAAACAATCAGAATGAAAGCCCTAGTAGTTGCATCTATATTGAGAAAGTCCCTGAGTTTTCTATCTGATCACTTTGTGACAGCTCTGACACAGCTCTGTTGTCAGACTTCCATTTATTCTTTAGAAGGCTACACCTCTGTCTAAAATGCCTGTGCTTTTGTTCCTTTATCAGAGTAAAATTCTCACTTTCTGACTTAGAGAAATAGCTTCTTCCCACCTGCTTCCCCAAAGTAAAACCACTGATTTTTCTTGTTTTACATACTGAATTTTGGTACTCATATATACTGTATAATTTATTAGGATATTTTTAACTACATATAATTTTAATGGAAGTCCTTTTGTGTGAATTATATATTCCTAACTAGTACATTTTATCCAGTGTATGCAGACATTTCTATACACTATGAATAATCTGGAAGGAAATTAAGAAAACAATTCCATGTATGGTCGCACCAAAAAAGAACAAAATACTTAAGAATAAATATAACCAAGGAGACAAAGAACTTGTACACAGAACACAACAAAACATTGCTGAAAGAAATTAAATAAGACTTAAATAAGTAGAAAAACATCACACCTTTGTTGATTGGAAGATTTAATATTAAGATGTCAATATCCAAAGCAATCTACAAATTCGGTGAAATCCCTATCAAAATCCCAATGATATTTTTGTAAAAATAGAAAAACCCATCCTAAAATTCATGTGAAATCATAAGAGACCCAAAGTAGCCAAAACAGTCATGAAAAAGGTGAACAAAGATGGAAGGTACACATTTTCTGATTTCAAAATATGCTGCGAAGTTACAGTAATCAAAACAGTGTAGTACTGACAGGAAGACATACAGATCAATGGGATAGACTAGAACACCCAGAAAAAAACCCTCACATATGCAGTCAAATGATATTCAATAAGGGTGGCAAGACCTTTAAGTGAAAGGATAGTCTCTTTGACAATGGTGTCAGGAAAACAATATCCACATGCAGAAGAATGAAGTTGGACTCCTAGCTCACATTATAAATACATATAAACTGAAAAAGCATCAAATGACACAGAAGCAAGAACTAGAACTATAAGACACTTAGAAGAAAATATAGGAAGAAATTGCCATGACATTGGATTGGCAATAATTTCTAGGATATGACACCAAAAAGACAGGCAACAAAAGGAAAAAATATGTAAGTTGAACTTCATCAAAATTTAAACTTTTATGCATCAAAAGGCACTATTGATATAATGAAAATACAAACCACAGAATGGGAGAAAATATTTTCAAAATATATATTTGATTAAAAAATAATATCCAGAATATATAAAGAACTCCTTAAATTCAACACCAAAAATATAAACCAATTAAAAATAAGCATATAAAAAGAGGCTCCACATCTGTGTCATCGTAGAAATGCAAATTAAAGCAGTAAGAGACCACTACACGCCTACAAAATGGCCAAAATCTGGAACACCGACAACAGCTAGTACTGGTGAGAATGTGGAAGCAATAGGAACTCTCTTTCATTCATTGCTGGTGGGAATGCAAAATGGTATAGCCTTAGGAAGACTTATATCTTACCACCTGATCCAGCAATCACATTCCTTGTTATTTACCCAAAGGAGCTAAAAACTTTATATCTACACAAAAAGTGCACACAGATGTTTATAGCAGCTTTATTCATCATTGCCAAAATTTGGAGGCAATCATTATGTCCTTCAGTAGGTAAGTGGGTGTATTAACTGTGGTACATGCAGATAATGGAATATTATTTAGTACTAAAAAGAAATAATCCAGCCATGAAAAGACATGGAGGAAACAGATGCATATTACTAAGTGAAAGAAGCCAGTCTGAGAAAGGTCATACTGGATAACCCCAACTGTATGCCGTTCTTGAAAAGGCAAAATTATAGAGACAATGAAAAAGTCAGTGGTTGCCAGAGGTTAGGAGGGGAAGGGATGAATAAGCGAAGCACAGAAGATTTTGAGGGCACTGTGAACACTCTGTTATATCACAGTCATGGCTACATATCATCATGCATTTTTGTCCAGACCATGGACTGTACACCAAGAGTGAAGCATAATGTACAATATGAACTTTGGATGCTTATGATGTGTCAGTGTAGGTTCATCAATTGTAACAAATACATCATTCTTGTAGAGGATATTGATGATGGGGGAGGCTGTGCATGTGTGGGGCGGAAGGCATATTGGAAGTTTCTGTACCTTACACTCAATTTTGCTGTGAACCCAAAAGTCCTAATTAAAAAACTGTTCCTATTTTATTTTTGTTTTAAATGAGGAATCTGCTTTAAACCAAGGTATCAGTTTGGTGGTAGATATTGATAATGGGGTGTCCATGCATTTGTGGGACAGAAGATATATGGGGAATCTCTGTATTCTCCCTTCAATTTTGCTCTGAATCTAAACCTGGCCTAAAAATTGTCTTAATTTAAAAATAAAACATAAAGAAGTGGGCAAAGAACTTCAACAGACATCTCTCTAAAGAAGATATACAATGGCTAATATGCACATAAAAAGATATTCAATATCATTAGTCATTAGAGAAATGTAAAAACCACAATGAGAGAGGACATCCATTAGGAAAACAATTATTAAAATCAGAAACTTGACAAATGTTTATGAGAAGATAAAGAAACTGGAGCCCTTGTGTATTACTGATAGGATTGTCAAGTAGTGCAATTGCTGTGAACAAGATTAGGCAGTTCCTTTAAAGATTATACATGGAATTATTATATGATCCAGCAGTTCTACTCCTAGGTGTATTGTCATAAGAATTGAAAGCAGGTACTCTAAATGGGTATTTGTACACATATGTTCATAGCAATATTATTCACATTGGCCAGAAGATGGAAACAATGCAGATGTCCATTATTGGATGAATAGAGAAACAAACTATGGTGTGAACATACAATAAAATATTGTTCAGCCTTAAAACAGGAGGAAATTCTGATATGTGCTTCAACATGGATGATCTTTGAAAACATTATGTAAAATGAAAGAACCAGTCACAAAAGGGCAGATATAGTCACATACAACAAAATAAGTATATTTTGAGTTGACGGTGGACTGTATAAATGATGGTGGTCCTAGAAGATTATAATGGAGCTGAATTCCCTGTAAGAAATGAAAAGATATGTGGTTCAGGAAGAATTTTTTTCTCTAATGGGAACAATATCTGGGAGCTTGGCAATCGATTTCCTCTCACTCACAGAAGCCCCATTTTGAGTGCACAGATTACACCCCAATCAGTCAGCCGCTGACCTGTTTCAGCACAGAGGAGCCTGTCCCCACTAGTGCAACATATTCAGAGGCTGCTACACTCCTCTCAGCTGTAGCTCTGAGTACACTGCTATCAATTCTTTGTTGAAGAACTAAAATCCTGCGCAAGGACACAAGTCCACAGGAGCCACTGTAAGTATTAATTGCCACTGTCACTTTACTACAAGCTTTCTGTGGTAGTGTGGAGCTGGCCTGTTCCTATACTTTGGAAATATTTTCAGGTTGTACTGAAGTACAGCATGAGTCGTATTTCTTTCATCAATTCAATGCCAGAGTGAGGTCTTTTTGCCAGATAGGGTCAAAACAAATTTCCAAAGTCAAACTATTGAGTCTTCAGTTCTACACCCTTTCCATATTATATACCCTCTTTTTTTTAATGAGTACCACAAAATTCACTAATCTGACCACTGCTCCAACATAGAATAGCCAAAACCACATTGCCATGACAATCTCCAATGTTCCCTTGTCTCTCCATCTTGATTTCTTATTTCTACTTATTTCCACCATTCATTTCTTCCTGACAGTCACTATTAATGGCAATCTATACCCACCTCAGCCAGTTCCTCCTCAATATTTCCAACCAGTGCAGTTCATATTCCTGCTCATTGAGCACCACTGACTGCTTCAGTGTTCTATTTCTGACCCTGCTGGAAGGAAGCAGGGGGCGGACTTGTGGGACAATGTTTATACAACCTACAGTAGTGTTCAGCAATGTCCTAGGCCTTCTCATTCACTCCCTGACTCACCCAGAGCAACTTCTAATCCTGCAGGCCATGTGAGAAAGTGGAGCTCAGTCAAGGCCATCTTCTAGTTTGTTTGCCACAGTGTTCATTCCCTTCTCCTGGAAATATCAGAAAAAAATGGACAGCAAACTAGAGAAACAATAGTTAACATAAGACAAGCAACTTCTGTAAATGCAGAAATTAATATATCAAATCCTAAGTAATAATGAAAAAAAAGTAACTTGCATAGAAGGAAATTATGATTGGACAAAAATTAACCTATAGAAGGATTCCTGGCCTCTTCTAAGATTTGACTTGGGAGTACAGGCCCTGTGAAGCTATATACTGTAGCTCAAAAGAGAAGCAAGTTTACCAGGAGTTCTTGAATGTATATGTGGAACTAGAAACAAAACAGTATTTGTTCATAATGAGAGTTGGTTTTGCCTACTACATTCATCAGAAAATATTCCATGGCTTTTTGAGTTTACTTCATTAATATTTTATATGTGTTCCAATTTTTTTTAATATCTGTCATTTTTCACAGTAGAGAATATATTCTGCTTATCTAAGTATGTAGTTCCATTAGTTCTAGGAAATGAGAAAAAGTAAACCACTTTGTTTTATTCTTTGAAACTAATTATATAGTTATCTGTAGAGTTCATTGCATAGTTGGAAATTCTATATATCAATTTTATACATAAAAAATACACAACTATGTTAACAGATTTTCTATTTTTACATAGGATCCAAATGAAGATACAGAATGGAATGAAATTTTAAGAGATTTTGGCATTCTTCCTCCAAAAGAAGAGCCAAAAGATGAAATTGAAGAGATGGTTTTACGTTTACAGAAAGAAGCAATGGGTATAGTTGTGCATTTGGTGGGCTGAATGAAGGAGATAATACAATTATTATAATGATAGGGTATTTCATAAACTTCAAGGGAGAGAGAACATTAGAAATCATTTGGCACATCCCACCCATACTTTTGCTGATATCTAAAGTTCCTAATTCATGTGTTGAAATTCACATGCTAGTTAATAACAGGGCTGAAACTTACTGATACTTTTCCCCTCTCTACCACATTTCTCTACCTTGTGGTTACCTCCTATTTTGATTGTTCTATATAGTACACATTATTTGTCAAGATTTTCTGGTACTTGAGAAAAATCTAAATGTATAGGGTCTATTTTATTATTTTTCCATCACCATTTATTCCCCCTATACCCTCTTCCACCTCTAATTGATTTTTACATTTACTTTTAAATGTAGCCTGGTAGTTCTGTGAACTCTGAGGGGGTAATAACTCTTTAAGCAAACTTGAAGCAGTCAGCCACAGAGTAGTTTTATATATTGCAGACACTGCAACTTTAAAGATAGTCTTGATCTCCATTTATTTAATGTATCATTTTTTCTCTACATCTGACTGTAAAGTAAAATTATTTTTAAACAATTCAATTGTCCACAATTTATTTTGTTTTAGTTAAACCATATGAAAAGATGACTCTTGCACAGTTGAAGGAAGCTGAAGATGAATTTGATGATGAAGATATGAGAGCGATTGAAACATATAGGTATAGTGATTCATTGGGATAGTTTATGAGTTTTGGAAAGAAGAGTATTGTAAGAATGAAACTAAGACAAAGCCATATTTTATCTATGGAATAAATTAAAAAATAACAAAACTAATTTTAAAGTCAGGTTTTAAAACTTAACATATAAGGTGGAATTTTTTCCTATTTTTTTGCCTTTGCTTAAATTAAAAGCTATCCAGTAATGCACCACAGAACTTCATCAAGTGACATGAGTAAAGTGGAAAATATCCATAAATGGCCAATAAAAGGAGGGCTATAACTTTCATTCTCACGTGATGTCTGTCAATGATATCCATCATTTAATAATTAATTGCAAGTCATAAATTCTCTCAGAAATTAGAATAGGTGCATACATTACCTAACTTTTCTTGATACTAAAAACAAAGACATTATAAAAATGGTTTGCTATACAAAAATATTTCTTATGAATGTAGGCACAAAATTTTAAACAAAATATTAGCAAATTAAGTCTAGTAATTTTTTTTAAAGAACAATATACCCTAAACAAGTAGGACTGGTCCCAGGAAGGCAAGGTTGTTTTAACATTAAAAAGAAAAGCAAAAATCAGTGATTTGGGCTATGTGTGGCAATATTCAAGTAGCAGTGAACATACCTAGCATCCATAAAAATAGAACCAGTGTGCCTTGGAAAACTGCTTTATTACACAGTGTTAATTGAGAAAGTACAATATGAGTCTTGACCATCTTATGGTGCCCACAAGTAAAGAAGTGATACAATTTTTTTTAGACATAGCAGCCAACCTAAAGATTTCTCAATGACCAGAGTTGAAACAGCTTGAATAATAAAATAAATATAATATTGGATTATGAAACAAATAATAAAATAAATATCCATGAGTTCATAGTGATACAAATAATTAACTGAATACATGAATAAATTCAGAAGAAATAACACTTCTTCCTCACTAAAGAATTCTCATTAATAAGTGTATATGGAATGAAGAAAATAGGAAAATTACCTTCAGAACACCACAATAATAATCCCCCATGGCAAGATCTGCTGATAGATGCTAAAATGAGTAGGTGAAATTTTAAGAAGCACAGTATTTTCATAATCTCAAAGTATCTCCCCCTCCAAATATGTAGTAATTATAAAGGAGGAAATTGTAAGTTTATAGTGTAGAGTTTTGGTGGACCCCATCTTAGGGAAATGACCAAGGTTAAGATCACAAATGATACATGGAGACATTAAGTAACTCAAGATACGATGTGCTGAAGAGGACACATACCCTCTGTGGTATCTTTTTAAATAATTCATAATCTAATTCTAATCATAAGAATGCATAACAGAAACTGAAATTTGAGGGACTTTCAAAAAAACTGACCAGGTTGCCTTGCCTGGGTGGCTCAGTTGGTTGGAATGTACACCAAAAGTTTGTGAGTTTGGTCCCCGGTCAGGGCACTTATGGTGGAGGCAACCGATTGATGTTTCTCTCTCACATCAATGTTTCTCTCTCTTTCCCTTCCCCTCTCTCTCTAAAATCAGTAAACATATCTTCAGATGAGGACTGAAAAAAATTGACCAGGTTTATGCCAGGAAAGATGGAAGAGTAGAAAACTCCAGAAATCCATCTTTTTACCTTGACAACAATTGTATTGGTTGAAACTGTCTGAAGCGGCAGCTTTGGAACTCTGGAGGCTATTTGAACACTTGCTGCTTCCAGGATAAAACTCTGCTGGTAAATTGTAGTTAGTATTAGTTGATTTCAGTCCTCAGTTGGTATTCAGCTCTCACCCTCCAGCTCCATGTCAGGCAGCTGTTTGGACAGTAACCTTTATTTCTAGTAAAGCTTCCTGGTAAAGGGTGGACAATAAAGACTTTGTTGTAAAATATCAAGGTTCTGTGTCAAATATGAAGATTCTGTGTTCTGATTGTGGATTGCTGCTTCTGATTGCAAAGGCATAGGTATAGAGTCTGGTTATCATTGTGTCAACACCCATTGGCTAAAGTAGCTTATAGAGCATTTAAAGGAGCCATATCTATTTTTTAAGATAATAAAAACAGCAATAGATTTGGGGGAATTCAAAAGTCTTGGGAAAGATGAAGACTCAGAGAAGACCTAACAGTTTCACCTCAGGCTGATCCTTGGCATAGAGACACCCTACAACAATAATAAAACAAACTATGGGGAAGAAGGAGGAAGATCTGATTTCCAGAGTTATCACATTATATGAATCAAATATTTTGCTTTCAACAAAAAAAAATCACAAAAGAAACAGGGAAGTGTGGCCCATTCAAAGGAACAAAATAAATAAATACAAAATATGCCTGAGGAAGCCCAAATGTCAGACTTACACGGCAAAGACTTTAAGACAACTGAGTTAAAGGTGCTCAAAGAGCTGAAAGTACACATGGACAAAGACACAAAAACATTGTATGAACATAATGAGAATACCAATAAAGAGACAGAAATTTTAATTTATTTATTTATTATTTTTTTTTTAGAGAGGGAAGGGAGGGGGGAGAGAGAGAGAGAGAGAGAGAGAGAGAGAGAGAGAGAGAAACATCAATGTGTGGTTGCTGGGGGTTATGGCCTGCAACCCAGGAATGTACCCTGGCTGGGAATCGAACCTGGGACACTTTGGTTCCCAGCCCGCGCTCAATCCACTGAGCTACGCCAGCCAGGGCTGGAGACAGAAATTTTAAAAGGAACGAAGATGATAGTCTGAAACAAAAGAGTAAGGTAGTTGAAGTGAAATATACGTTGATGCTTTAAAAGCACATTTCAACAAGCAGAAGAAAGGATCAGCAAATTTGAAGATAGGACAATTAAAATTATTGAGGAATAGGAAAAAAAGTAGTGAACAGAGCCTAATTGTCCTTGTGGTTACTATTAAGTGAACCAACACATGTAATGTGGGAATCCCAGCAGAAGAAAAGAGAAATTGACAGGAGAAATATTTGAAGAAATAATGGCTGAAAACTTTCCAAATTTGACAAAATCCCAAGTCTACAAATCCAAGATGCTCAATGAATTTCAAGTAGGATAAACTCAAAGAGACCCACACAAAGATGTGTCATAATCAGTTGTGGAAATACAAAGATAGAAGCTTGAAATCAGCAAGAGAAAAGGGACTTGTCACACACAAAGGACTCTTAGAACTATCAATCAAATTCTCATCAGAAATCTTAAAAGGTCAGAAGGCTGTGGGCTGATATATTTAAAGTGCTGCAGGAAATAACTGTCAAGCAAGAATTATCTATCTGGCAAAAAACTATGCTACAGGAATGAAGGAGAAATTAAAACAGTCCTAGATTAAAGCTACATTTTTACTACTAGAATTGTGCTAAAAAATTAGGAGTCCTTCAGATTAAAACGAAAAGCTACTAGACAGTAACTCAAAGCCATATGAAGAAATAAATAACATAGGTAAAGGTAACTGCATAGGTAAATATAAAAGTCAGCATTACCATACTTTTGATTTTTAACCCAGTTTTTCCTGCATGCTTTAAAAGGCAAATGCATAAAACAATACTTATAAATCTGTGTTAATATATCACAATGTAGTCTGTAACAAAAATATAAAGGGGATGCTCTGGCAAGGTGACTCAGTTGACTGGAGCATTGTCCCATGCACCAGAAGTTTGCAGGTTTGATTCCTGGTCAGGGCATATAACTGGGTTGTGGGTTCGATTCTTGGTTGGGGCACGTACAAGAAGCAACCCATTAATGTTTCTCTCTCTCTCTCTCTCTCTCTCACCCTTCTTTTCTTTCTAAAATCAATCAATATATCCTGAGGTGAAAATTTAAAAAAAAAAAAAAAAAAATATATATATATATATATATATATATATATATATATATATAGTTAAAGGGGAAGGTGAGATGGAGATAATATAAGAAGCAAAGTATTACTCACAGTAGGTCATCATAAGATACTAATTTTAATTCTTAAGATAACCAATAAAAGAATACATAGAAAAAGAAGGAAATCAAAATGGTACACTACAAAAATCAGCTAAATGCAAAAAGCAGCAGTGATAGAACATTGAGGAACAAAAACTGTGTAAAAAATACTGAAAATAACTAAATGGCAGAAGTCCTTTCTTATCAGTAATTACTTTGTTATGTTGGTTCCAGACTATAGATACTGATGCTATTGGCTAGGAATGCCTGAGGCACTCATCTCATCTGTATTACTCATATCTTGTGGCTGAAGCAGCTCTTGTGGTTCTTATGACTGTAGGACGTCTTCCCCAAGAAACCATCAGGGAACTTGGATGAACAAGAGTATTACTCACAGGTCCTGGAGGATATGTGACATGTCTGAGGTCCATACAGCCAGGTCAGAGAGAGAGGGAGAGAGAATGAACTTGTGGTTCTGCCTTTATTGGGTTCCAGTGTTAGGGTGTCTAGATTTTGAGAGTTCACTCTTGGTTGACTAATTTAGGGCATAATACCAGGAATCAGAGCACAGAACAGATAAGCAGGGTCACTCAAGCAGTTAGTTATATAGATTACCCAGAGCTTTCTGAAAGAGGGAGCTTCATGAATGGAGCAGCCTAATTTTTAGTTAGTTGTTTTTTGCTAGTTGCTGTGTCATGCAGCTGACAATATGTTTTTCAAGATAGATGTCTTTTGAAATGGAATACTTGGCAACCAAAGCTTAATGTCAGACACTTACACTACAATCAAAAAACTTCATGTCAGGTACTTAATTACATATTATAAATGTAAATGGATTTTTAAATTCAATTAATCTCCAATTAAAGGCAGAAATTGGAAGAATAAATAAAAAGAAACACAATCCAGACTCTGCAAACCAAAGCTGTCTTGAGAAAGAACAAAGTTGGAGGACCCACACTTCCTGATTTCAAAACTTACTACAAAGCAACAGTCATCAAAACAGTGTAGCAGTGACAATAGGATGGACATAGGGATGGATAGAATAGAAAGCCAGAAAGAAACTTTCTCGTATATTGTTAAATGGTTTTCAACGAGGGTGCCAAAACTATTTAATGGGAAAAGGACAATCTTTTCAACAAATGCTGCTAGGAAAACTGGATGTCCACATGCAGAAAGACGAAGTTGACAGACCAGTTTTGCAATGTTGTTCTGGGAGTCGTTCCTGGTAGCCCAGTTTAGAACCTCCTCCATTTTTCCATTGAATTTGTAAAGCACTTAATTCTACAGATTAAGTTTCTCGCTGCTTAAAATAGCTAGAGGGCTTTCTGTTTATGCAACTAAATCCCAAATTGTTGGGTGTAAAATGCAGGCCACTGAGCACTAAATCACTTCCTGATGGCAAAACTAACCCAGTTCTTTATGTCTCTCCCTGCCTAATTCCACTGAAGTAGCAAAGAAATATGAGGAAGAGAAGGAGGAAGAGGGGAGGAGGAAGAGATAAAGTTGATAGCTGCACCAGTAAGTAGGGCATGGTGCAATCATGGAAACAAAAGCTTTTTGAAATTTTTGGAAGATAATAAGCCAAAGAGATCAAATTGAGAAAAGTTAATGGCAGTGATGCTAAATACTGAATGCAAATAAAATTCAGCTCCCAAAAGGTTTTTGGATTAACTGTAGATTGTGCATATCTGGGTCAGTAGAGGGGAAATTGAAGGACTTCAGTTTGAAAACTGTGAGAGGGGCCTAATGTGGATTGTTGTCCTAAGGATTCTCTAGGCTTTATTTTGCTTGGATTACTTGTTACATAGAGTGGTTTTACCTGACATGTTTCTAATATGTGAAATAAAACAGACTGTTTTAAAATATAACAAGGATTTTGTTCAGGCATAATGAAGCCAACAGATCGGGAAATTCCATTGAAAAGATAGTTTTTAACTCACAGCTCAAGAATAGAGGGCATGTGCCACAATGCAGGGCCTCACAGGGAAGCATTCAAGTTGGTTGAGAGGCAGAAGGAGAGAGGGGATAGCCTGGACCTCGGCCAGCCTTCATTGTGGTTTCTGTGGGAAAGGCAAGCTAAGCAGGGTAAGCAGATTTAGGGTTGGCTAGTTTGAATATAGAAGTACTGTTCTAATTTTGCCCTAATGTCAAACTCCTCTGGGGATCAGAAAACCTCTGTAACAACTGTTCTGTCTAGGAACCTATTTCATTAGCAAAGACTGGGAGAAAGTAATTGCAGAAGACACATCTGATAGAGGACTGTTATCCCTGTTATACAAAAGCTCTAAAAACTCAATAAGAAAACAATGTGATTAAAAATGGGCCAAAGACCTTACTTAACAGACACCTTACCAAAGAAGATATACAGATGACAAAGAAGCATATAAAAGGATGCTGCACATCTATGTCTTCAGGAAAACGCAAGTGAAAACAAGAGACTGCTACACACCTAAGGAAACAGCCAAAGTCTGGACCACTGACACCACCAAATGCCAGAGAGGATGTGAAGCAACAGGAACTCTCATTCATTTGTGGTGGAAATGCAAAATGGTACAGCTTTTGGAAAACAGTGTGAACATTTCTTATAAAACTAAACATATTCTTACCATGTGATCCAGCTATTGCACTTCTTGGTATTTATACAAAGGAGATGAAAATTCATGTCCATATAAAAACCTGATCATGGATGTTTATAGCAGCATTATTAATCTCTGCCAAAACTTGGAAGCTACAAAGATATCCTCCAGTAGGTGAATGTATGGATAAATTGTGGTACATCTACACAATAGAATGTTGTTCAATACTAAAATAGATGACCCATCCGTGAAAAGACATGGAGAAAACTTAAATGCATGTTGTGAAAGAAGCCAATTTGAGAAGGCTACTATATGAATCCCAGCTATATAATAATCTGGAAAAAGCAAGGCTATGGAGACACTAAAAAGATCAGTGGTTGTCAGGAGTTGACAGAGGGGAGGAATGAATAGGCAAAGCACAGAGGATTTTAGAGCACTGAAAACATTCTGTATGATACCATGGTGATGGATACATGTCATCGTGCATTTTCCCAAACCCATAGAATGTACAACACCAAGAATAAAGTGTAATGTACACTGTGAACTTTGGGTGATTATGGTATTTTGATATAGGTTCATCAATTATAACAAATTATCACTCTTGTGGGGGATGTTAATAATGGAGGAGGCCATGCATGTGTGGGGTCAGGAAGCCTATAAGACACCTCTCTACCATCCACTCAGTTTTTGCTATGAACCTAAATATTGGCCAGGTAGATTTAACAGTTAACATTTTGTCTGGTACCTGGCCCAGGGCCAATTAGGGCAGAGGTATAGTGGCTCAGTTTAATGAGGGAGGTGACTGAGGGATTCGGCTCTGGACTGGGGTTGGTTTGCGTCTGAGGAATTTGCTCTCCAGTGAGAGGTTGCTTTCTTTTGAAATTAGCTAGACTTGTGAGGGGCAGTCTGTCCAGGATCAGCAAGGCCCCAGAAGCCAGAGCACCAAGAATACAGAAAATAAGAAAATATAGTTAATCCCCAGAAAAAAAAGGAGAGTATTCCAAAGAAAACTTAGAGATATAGAGTCAGTAACTTTTAAGAAACCTGCACATGCGTCGGAGAACATTTGTGTTTGCTTCATGAACCTGAGCATTCAATAACTGAATCAGAGTATGCACATTTTGGAGCTGTTCAAGAAAGTTTTAATGCTCCCTATATATAAATAACTAGGTAACATGGAATGCTAACTGTGTGCTAGGTACCACCCTAAGAAATTTTCATGTACTATATAATTCTCAGAAATCCCATGCAATTAGGTATTAGTATTAATCCCATTGTAGTTGGAGAAACTGAGGTTTAAAGAGAACAAATAATTTGTGCAAGTTCATGCTGCTAGTAAGTGGGATCTGGTATCTAAACCCAGGTTAGTGTGATCTTAGAGTTCAAACTTGTCATTCTTCTCTACCACCTGTCTACCTGCAATAAATTTTATAATGAGCAATTATACATATTCACAAAGGCTTTGGACTGAAGGTCAGCTTAGCATGATAGTTAAGAGCACGTAAATGGGGATAATAATAGTATTAACTTTATACAGTTTTTACAAGGATTAGTTAATGTAATGCACTTAAAAGAGTGTCTTACAACATAATTAGCACTCAGTAAATGATAGTCATTATTATTATATGAGTATATTCTCCCTTAATAAGTATTTAACCTGTATGTGAGAGTTTGTTGGTTCAATGTCTAAATAAACTCTCTATAGCTGTGATTAAGATCTAGTCTTAAGTAAAAATAGATTCAAAAGTTGGTAGCTAACTTCTTTTACTTGAAATGCCCACTAACACAAATCCCCATATAAACAGAGAAGTTGGCATTATAACACCATTGACAGTTATTCTGTCATTCGTTAAAGTGTTTGATATGTACTAGCATGACATTCATTGCCCTAAATTGTTACTGTTTAAAGGAATGATATTAAGAATATAACAATTTTCTTATGTGATTTCATTTCATTTTTTTTTAATTAGAGAAAAACGGTTACAGGAATGGAAAGCTCTTAAGAAAAAACAAAAATTTGGAGAGTTAAAAGAAATTTCTGGAAATCAGTATGTGAATGAAGTCACAAATGCAGACAAGGATGTATGGGTTATAATTCATCTATACAGATCAAGGTAGTTACTTTTTTGCAAAATACTAATGTATTAATGTTTTAAGATACATATTCTGGGTTTAAGGGTTTATAAAGCACATAACAAAGAGTACTCACAAAAAGAAAATAAATGTATATATAAACATATATATGTATAGAGTCATTGGCTTCAGGAATTAAATTAGGTATTTTAATATATTTTCTTGTCTAATTTAAAGAACTTGTAACACTTTTTAGAAAAAAATAAGAATTTTTTGGCAGTTAATTTAAATAAAACTTACGGAGCTTTGTCCGGGTAGCTCAGTTGGTTAGAGCACCATCCTGATACACCAAGGTTGCAGGTTCAATCCCAGTGAGGGCATGTACAGAAATCAACCAATGAATGCATGGAAAAGTGGAATGATAAATTGATGTTTCTGTTCTTTCTCTCCCCCTGCCATTCTCCTCTCCAATCAATATAAAAAAAATTTTTAAATAAGAAATACAGAAAACTTATAAACAGTTTCAAAGATACAGAAAAGTAGAAATAAGGATAAAACGAGCCCCCTAAATACTAGCCAGGTAGATTCAACAGTTAACATTTTGCCGTATTTTTATCATTTGTGTGTGTGTGTGTGTGTGTGTGTGTGTGTGTGTGTGTGTATTTGCAGAACCATTTCAAAGTAAATTACACAAGCATGACACTTTTATCCTAGGTACTTCAGCATGCATTTTCAAAACACAGGGACATTTTTTTATATAACCACAATCACATTCTTTCACCTAACAATAGCATTTTCTCACCTAACAAAATTAATGGTAATTTCTAATAGTATCTAATACCCAGTCCTTACTCAAAATTTCCCAACAACCTTCAAAATGTTTTTTATAAATACATATATTTTTGAACAGGATTCAATCAAAGATCAGGCAGTGCATTTGGATATATCCTATCTCTTGCCTTTTTTAACAGAACAATTCCCATGCCTTCCCATGTTCTCCCCCAAACAGTTGTACTAAGTATACTCCATACGTCCCCCGCCTGATCAGTTTGGTATAATGATAATTGGGAAGAGTGGACTTTCCCCCAACTCTGTGCCAAAGGGGAGCTGCCAACTCCCGCAGCTGCATAAATCTCTCACAGAAACAACACCTCCAGCATTAGGCCCGAGGCCCTCTGTCTGGACTTCAGGCCAGTCCAGGAACACAGGCCGTGACAGTAGCGCTTGTCATTTTTATTTCATCTTCTGAATAAAAAATGTCTTCCTGCTTCAGGTCCTCAGAGAAATTCTGTACAGAGCAATTTATGCAAATATGAGCCTTGCTGTTTACCAGCTTTCCAGTTCCTCAGACCCCATGAAAGAAGACATTATTTTTACTCTAACTAAAATGCTTGGTAAATAATTTTTTAGTAGTGTAAAGTCTTAAAAATAATCATTTCCCATTTTCCTATCCCATTAATCTAGCTAAACCAATTTGGAGATTTGCTGACTTTGGTTCTTCACAAATAAGTATGTGAAACAGTAACATTTACAGTACTAGCATTTGTGTGTCATCAGTGTTATATACTGAAGGTACACACTGATGCCTTTTCTGAGACCCATTACCATTAGCAGAATAGATGTTGGTTCTGAATTACCTATCAAACCCTGGCATAAAATTCTTTTAATGATTATTTGTACCTAAATTACTAGTCTTGGCCAATAATTTTCAAAAACTCATAGAAGAGGTTGAATGCATTTTAGTCTCAGGGTTTTACAAACTGCCATATCCTTTGATGAACTTAAAGAATAAGGGTTCATTTTTATAATACTTTAAATATTTGTGAACTCAGAAGGTATTAGCTTTTGTAACATTAAGAAAATGCATTCATGTGTCAGTATAAAACATACATTTTAAGAAAATTAATCTATAATCAAATTTGTAAAATAAAAAATATGTTAAATTATTTTTATTAAAGTCTAGCTTTTAATAATGGATTTACTCATAACTTTCATATTATAAAGTAAAATATATCTATTAAGTTCATATTTCTAGCTACATTTTATAATTATAGGAGGGTAAGAATTTATTTTTTTACCAGGATCCTAGGTTTTATAATTTTAATATTTCTTTGCCACCAAATTTTTAGAACAGGAGATATGTATATATAAATATACATATATATATATGCTGTAAACAGAAGGCTGGAGAGTAGTTATTAGAAGGGGACAGAGACTTATAAGGGACTCTAAAATTTTACTAACTTGAATGTGTTTATGTAAAGTGGAGAAGGAAAGATTGATAAAACAGGGGAAGAGGGAAGCAGAATAACAAAGTCCCATAGAAAATGGAAGAAGTATGGGATGAAGTGGAGGTCTAGCTCTGAAACATTTTAATAAAGCTGTGAGTGAATGATGGACTGGGAGAAAATAGACCAAAGGATCAAAGTAGTGGGAGTTAAGTGATAAAGCAGAGGACTCGCAGGGTTTGATCACACATGCAATCAATTTTAGTTATCTGGATTTTGGGGAACAGGATGTGGCATGGACTGGGTTGTGAAAGAAAAGTGTGGGTGATATTTGTTAGAGTCAAGAAATTCAAGGAAGTTTGATATAAAGGGATTTTTTAAAAATTATATTTTACTGATTATGCTATTACAGTTGTCCAGATTTTTCTCCCTTTGCTCCCCTCTACCTAGCACCCCCACACTCCCTCAAGCAATCCCCATACCATTGTTCATGTCAAGGGGTCATGCATTTAAGGACTTTGTCTACTCCATTTCCTATACTGTACTTTACATCCCCATGGTTATTCTATAGTTACCAATTTGTATTTCTTAATCCCCTCACTCTTCACCCATTCCTCCATACCACCCTCCCATCCAGCAATCATCAAAACACTCTCTGTGTCCATGATTCTGTCTGTGTTCTTCTTGGTAGCTTAGTCTGTTTTTTAGATTCAAGTGTTGATAGATATGTGTTTATTGCCATTTTATTGTTCATAGTTTTGATCTTTTTCTTAAATAAGTCCTTTTAACATTTCATATGATAATGGTTTGGTGATGATGAACTCCTTTAGTTTTTTCTTGTCTGGGAAGTTCTTTTTCTGCCCTTTCCTTCTAAATGCTATCTTTGCTAGGTAGGTGGGGCAATCTTGGCTGCAGGTCACTGCTATTCATGACTTTAAATATTTCTTGCCAATCCTGTCTAGCTTGCAAGGTTTCTTTTGAGAAATCAGCTGACACTCCTAGGGGAACTCCCTTGTAGGTAACTAACTGCTTTTCTCTTGCTGTTTTTCATATTCTCTTTTTATCTTTAACCTTTGACATTTTAATTATGGCATGTCTTGGAGAGGGCCTCTTTGCATCCATCTTGTTTGGGACTCTGTGTTTCCTGGACGTGCATGTCTATTTCCTTCACCAAATTAGGGAAGTTTTATTTCATTATTTTTTCAAATAGATTTGCTGTTTTTTGCTCTTTCTCTTCTCCTTCCGGTACCCCTCTGATGTGAATGTTGGAACACTTGAATTTGTCCCACAGGTTGGTTACACTATCCTCTTTCTTTGGATTCTTTTTTCTTCTTGTTCTGATTGGTTGTTTTTTTCTTCCTTATGTTCCAAATCATTGATTTGAATCTGGGCTTCATTCACTCTACTGTTGTTTCCCTGTAAACATTCTTTATTTCAATTAGTGTATCTTTCATTTCTGACTGGATCTTTTTCATGCTGTTGAGGACCTCACCAAGTTCCTTGAGCATACTTATAATCAGTGTTTTGAATTCTGCATCTTACAGATTGCTTATCTCCATTTTGCTTAGTTCTTTTTCTGGAGTTTTGTTCTGTTCTTTCCTTCAGGCCATGTTTCTTTGTCTCTATTTTGGCAGCCTCCCTGTGTTTGTTTCTATGTATTAGGTAGAGCTGCTATGACTCCCTTTCTTGGTAGTGTGGCTTAATGTAGTAGGTGTCCTATAGGGTCCAGTGGCCCAGCCCCCCCATCACTCAAGCTGGGTACTTGAGGTGCTCCCTTTGTGTGGGTTGAGTATACCCTCCTCTTGTAGTTGATCCTTGATTGTTGTTGGCAGGTCAATGGGAGGGATTTACCTAGGCCAATCAGCTGCAAGGTTTGGCTGTGACCACTGACCACCAACCTCTGTCCTCCATGGAGGATCAGCTTTGCAGCGGTAGTGTGGTGGTGCTCTAGCATAGTCTGTAGCTGTCCACTGTGTGCGCTGGCACTGGTGTTTCCTGGGTGGTACAGGCCAAGGTCAGCCCCCATTTGTGTTTTGTCCAGGGCTACCCTGCCTGAGCTATAAAGCAATCTGAAATGGCTGTTACTTGTGCTGGGCTTGGAGATTCTGGGGTGAAGCAAAGCTGTGAATCTAGGCTGGCTACTGCTAGTGCTGGGCTGGGGCCACTTAGCAAGAGGTAAGAGGGAGTGGGTGGAAACTCACTGAAGCCAGCTGTGGCTTGTTTGAAAAGATTCAGATAGTTGTGAAGCATGAACCAAGACTAGCCATTCAAATGGAAAAGCCACTGTTAACAGCTGTAAGTTGGGCAGGATGTATATAGCCTCAGGGGATCTCCAGTGCAGAGGGGAGGGAGGGGGTGCCTAACAGTGTTAGCCAGGTATGTTGATGGAGCCTCAGATATGGCACCAGCTTGCCAGCTCTGTGGCTCTGTGGTAGGAGGTTTCAGAAAAGGAACAATGGCCCCTGCCTGCCTTTCTGTCTGGGAGAAAGCTGTCCCTCAGCTCTCAACTTGATGCCAGATACTTCAGTTCCTCTCTGTATGTCATGGTGCCTTTCAAGCTGCTACCCCAATGCTGGAGCTCAAAGGGAGTGGGTCTGAGTAGGTGAGTTCCTATGTAGGTTCTTTAAGAGGAACTGCTTGGGACTCCAGAAGTTTCTTCCACATACTCAATCTGCACTGGTTTTTACAGCCAGAAGTTATGGGGACTTACATTCCTGGCACTGGAACTCTGGGTTGGGTGGACCATTTTGGGGCTTGGACTTCTCACTACTGAGATATCCTTCCTGAATTTTTATCCACCACACGTGTGTATAGGCCCATCTCTTTCCATCTCCATCCTTCCTACCAGTCTGGATGGATGAGGTTTCTTTGATTCTGTATTTGTCAAACTTCTACTCAACTCAATTTCTGATGGTTTTGAGTGATGGTTGTTCTATAATTTAGTTGTATTTTGATGTGGTTGTCCAAGGAGATGAGCCTGAGTATCTTGACTGGAAGCCCAAGAAATGGACTTTTGGGTTTGATCATCTCAGGTGAAAATAAGCCTGTGATGGTTGGGATCCCTTTGTTTCAATTCTGCACTGCCATGGAGTTCCCAGGAGTGTTATTTTTTTTTCTCCCATGTCCCATAAACTAGGAACTGGCTTGATTAAATTGATGCTAAGTCAGACATGCTTAGCCTTAGGTAGGCATCAAATTCCCATGGTAGCAAGCTTTATTCCCAGGCTATAAAGGTGTTTGCGGTGAAAATCAGAGGGCTCCATAGTTCATCATGACTAAAGGTAACAATAGAGGATGATAATTGATATGTTCTTAGATATTATTAAAAGAGTATCTAAAGGTATATTTTGTCATGAAGATGTTTCACTTATTTTGTTAAGCTGAGATGAGTAGCTTGTTTTTTTATTAAAGATATTGTGTATATTGTTTCTCTTTTTAGCATACCAATGTGTTTGCTGGTTAATCAGCATCTTAGTCTTCTAGCAAGAAAGTTTCCAGAAACTAAGTTTGTTAAAGCCATCGTGAATAGCTGTATTCAACACTACCATGACACTTGTTTACCAACAATTTTTGTTTACAAAAATGGTCAGATAGAAGGCAAATTCATTGGAATTATAGAATGTGGAGGTATAAATCTCAAGCTAGAAGGTAATGATGTTCTTTTAAAAATTGTTTGTAAAAACAGGTAAAAGCTTCACTAAATTAACAAGTATCATGAAAGTTCATATCCATAAAACAGTTTTTCCCTTTCTTCTAGCTCTTCTTGAATGCCTCCAGATTAATTTCCTACAATAATAATGTTATCATAACAACCACTTGCTTAAACCCGTATTGGTTCCTTGTCTCAAATAAGTTAAAAATTTAGAATCTTCTGCCTAAGAATTTTGGCCCACTTTTATAACTATAGTTTTCAATGCTCACTAGTTTCTGCTCCAGCCAAGCTGGTCTTCAGCCACTGCTCCAGACACGCTCATTTGTTCCTTTATGCTTCCTTTCATTCTCTTTCTATGTACCCAAAACACCCTACTCTTCTTTGTTTTTGCTTCCAAATCCTGTTCCTTCATGTGCCTCTTCGTTTTCCATTTATCCCATTGTATGACTTTGGTCCAATCCATAATCTGTCTTCCTGCTCTTTACTGAATTTCAATAGCATATATTCTCTATACAATTTACTTTCCACTTATCCACCTACTATCTGATTTTGTTGATTAATTCCCTTTGCATTTTCTTTTCCTAACAAGCATAAGGACCATACCTCTTATTATTTTCTTTTCTATAATACATAACACGGGACTTGGTATTTTTACCTTTTCTAATGATTTTTACTTCCTGACATAGTTCAAAGGCCATGTCCTTCATCAAGTCATTTCTTGGAACTCCACTAATTTCATATTATAAGAATCTTTTTCTCTTACCATTGTGTTAAAGCCATTGTGAATAGTTGTCTTTAATAGCTAGTTTATTCACTCTTTTTTTTCCCTTAAAACTGTTTTTGGCTTACTGAGACCTCCAATACTTCAATTGTTCCAGAATTATCCCTTTCTTTCTCTTAGTCTTGAAGGTGCCTCTTTGTTTTATCACCCTGTTTTTCCAGTTTGGAATTTATTCCTCTATTTAAATTTTTTTAAATAATAGAAAAAACAATAATATGCCAGTCATTCATACACTTACTAAAAATAACACATGTGAACATTTGTTCATGTTTGCTTCAGCTACTTTTTTTTTAAATTGCTGCAATTAACATTACAAATATAGTTGAAGTTACCTATATTTCCATCTCTAGTACCATTCCCCTCTTTTCCTCCCTAAAGGCAATCACTATCATGAATAATGTGTTACGTAGTCCATGCTTCTTTTTAGTAGTATATTTAAAAAATTTTTAAACTGTCATGAAATACACATAATATGAAATTTACCATCTTAAACACTTTAAAATATATAATGCAGTATTATGAACTATAATTACCATGGTGTACTTTATATATCCAGGACTTTAATACATAAATAAGTTATTTAACCATTTTAAAGTATATAGTTCAGTGGCATTCTATGCTTTCACATTGTTGTGCTGTCACCACAATTATCCATCTCTGTAACACTTTTCATCTTGTGTAACTGAAACTCTATACCAATTAAACAATAACTCCTCTCTCCCTCTCCTTCTAGCCCCTGACCACTACCATCTACTTCCTCACTCTATGACTTTGACTACTCTCAGTATAAGTGCATTATATAGTATTTGTCCTTTTGTGACTGACTCATTTTGTATAGCATAATTTCCTCAAAGTTCATTTATGTTGTGCATGTGTCAGAATTTCCTTTTTAAGACTGTATAATATTCCATTGTGTGTTTATACCATTGTTGGTTTACCCTTTTATCTTTTGACTGATGCTTGGGCTCCTTCTGTCCTTTGACTATTTGGAATAATACTACTATAAATATGATGTACAAATAATCAGTTTTCATTCCTGTTTCCTGTTTTAATTCTATTTTATTGTTTATGCTATTACAGTCATCTCTACTTTTTCCTCCTTTGCCCACTTCTCCCCAGTCGCCTTACTCCTACCCCAGGCAATTCCCATACTATTGTTCCTGTCCATGGGTCATGCATTTATGTTCTTCAGCTAATCCCTTCACCTTCTTTCATCCAGTCCCCCCTCCCTCACTCCCTCCCACAGCTGTCAGTCTATTCCATGTATCTATACTTCTGCTTCTATTTTGTTCATTAGTTTATTTTGTTTGTTAGATTACACATATAAGTGAGATCATATGGTATTTGTCTTTCACTGACTGGCTTATTTCACTTAGCATAATAGTCTAGTCCCTATTTCCAGTTCTTTGGATGTATGCTTAGAAGTAGAATTGCTAAATCATATGATAATTCTACTTTAATTTTTTGAGCAACAGCATACTGTTTTCCATACCAGCTGCATGATTTTGTACTTTCATCAACAGAGTGTAAGAATTCCAATTTCTCCACGTTCTCACAAACACTTGTTAATTTTTTTAAAAGATTTTATTTATTTATTTTTAGAGAGAAGGGAAGGGAGGGAGAAAGAGAGAAAGAGAAACATCAGTGTGTGGTTTTCTCTCATGTGTCCCTCACTGGGGACCTGGCCTGCAACCCAGGCATATGCCCTGACTGGGAATTGAACCAGTAGCCCTTTGCTTCACAGGCCCATGCTCAATCCACTGAGCTACACCAGCCAGGGCAATAATTTCTTTTTTTAATAGTAACCATCCTAATGTATGTGAGGTGTTTTTCCACTGATTCTTAATGTTTCCTATATTATTTTTTATGATCCAAAATGCTTCAGTTTGTTTCTGAAGTCTTTATGGTCTTCTACTGGTCTATTTGCCTACCCCTGAATCAATACAGCATGGTCTTAATTACTACAGCTTTATAACAATCTAGTTGTCTCTAGTAGGGACAAGTCTTTTTCAAACTTTCATATAAATGTTGGAATTAGTCAAGTTGATTATCTCTTAAATTAACTGTTGGAGACTTGATATCCTAATAAGAGTGACTGTTTCTTTCTGTGAATGAGATACATCTTGTCATTTTTTTGGTTTCCTTTTATGTTTTTTACAATTCTCCTGATAAATACAATATGTATATGTTATGTTTTATAACTTAATGTATTTTGTAATTTTCCTCATAAGTGTATTTTTTAAAAAATTTCCTCATCAATGTTTTGTTCATCTATACAGAACTTAGGAACAAATTTGACAGAATGATGAATTTTCAAGGTTCAGGAATTTTTGGTTATCAATTCAGTTCTTTTTCGTTTTATCTTGTTTGTATTTGGGTATTTCATATTTTTGTTGAAATTTTCCCATTAAAGTTTTCAAATGTATTAGCATAAGTTTCTTCATAAGTAGCCTCAGAGCTTTAAAATCTTTACTTTGGTTATGTCCCATGTAAATTCTTGATATTATTTTTTTTCTTATCTTGTCATCATTTTTGCCTGAGGTGTGTCTGTCAGTCTCTGCAAACCACCAGCTTTTGATTTTGTTGGTCACCTCTATTTACTTTGTTTTCTTACTTTTGCTGAAGTCCTTTCTTCATATGTCCCTCTTTCTGCTTTTCTTGGCTTTATTTTATCATTCTTTTTCTAGCTTCTTGATTTGAAGCTTTAAACCTCCATTTTCAGTCATTTTAAAATAAAAATTTTAACTATAATTTCTCCCTTTAAGTATAATTTTGCTGTACCCAATGAACATTTTGATATTGTACTTTCATTGTCATCTAGTTCTAAATAATTTTTCCACATTAATTGTATTAGAGTCAGTTTCTGTTTTATATAGATGAGAAATTCTTCTTTTCATTTTTCTAAGATTTTAGTCTAACTTAATGATGGGTTATTTATTGCAGAACTTGAATGGAAGTTAGCAGAAGTGGGCGCGATACAGACTGATTTGGAAGAAAACCCTAAAAAAGGCATTGTAGATGTGATGGTGTCTTCAATTAGAAACACTTCTATCTATGATGACACTAACAGTTCAAACAGTGATACTGATGATACCAAGTAGAGGGAAGTAGTTAATAAATAGTTTTAAAGTGGTTATGTACTGAATGTTTTGTTCCTCACGGCTTTTAGATTCAGAGATTAGAAAATTTATAGATTTATTTTATTTTCAGTTTTTTAAAAATACTTTTGAATTTTACTGTTACTCAATTACAGTTTTCTGCTTCTCCCCCCATCCCTCCCCGCCACCCCAGCCATCACCACCTCCCTCCCCTTTTTCCACCCCCACTTGTTTCTGTCCTTGCATCCTTTATAGTTGTTCCTGTAAACCCTCCACCCTTTCCCCATTATCCCCTCCTCTCTCCCCTCTGGTTACTGTCAGTTTGCTCTTAATTTCAATGTCTTTAGTTATATTTTGCTTGCTTGTTTGTTTTGTTGATGAGGTTCCAGTTAAAGGTGAGATCATATGGTATTTGTCTTTCACCACCTGACTTATTTCACTTAGCATAATGACCTCCAGTCCATCCATGCTGTCACAAAGGATAGGAGCTCCTTATTTCTGCAGTGTAGTATTCCACTGTGTAAATATACCACAGTTTTTTGGTCCATTCATTTACTGATGGGCACTTAGGTTGCTTCCAATACTTGGCTATTATAAATTGTGCTGCTATGAACATTTTTATGTTAGAATTATAGCTTAGACCTCATGTCAAAACTTTCAGGTATTTCAGAAATTGCTTCTAACAATACCAATAATTATACTGAACCCTTAATATTTGCCTTTGTCTTACCTGTTTTATGATCCATGTTGGACAAAAACACTGATACTACAAGTCTCCTGTATTGCCTACTCCCTTCCAAACAGAGGCCTATGAATGAAAATAATGAAGATAAACCATGCCATTTTATTTAATTTATGTTAATAAATCTTTAAGTCTATTATTTAGGGGCCCTGAGTGAAAATACTTAAATTTATGACCATATGCTTTTTCTTTGAAATTTCTTACCTATTAAAAAATTAACCGCTCAATATAAAAATGCAATTTAAAGATTCTAAAAGGACATAAGAAACATATCTACTTATTATTATTGTTATTAATAGTTCTGTTAAGTTAGAAGATTAATGCCCTGGCTGGTGTAGCTCCATGAACTGAACACCAACCAGTGAACCAATGGGTCACTGGTTCAATTCCCAGTCAGGGCACATACCTGGGTTGTGGACCAGATCCCCAGTTGGGTGTGTGTGAGAGGCAACCACATATTGATATTTCTCTCCCTCTCTTTCTTCCTTCCTTCCCCTTACTCTAAAAATAAATTAAAAAGTCTCTTTTTAATTTTTAAAAAAAGAAAATTAATAAATGCTGTCATTAAGAGACTACAAAATCATTGGAACTGTGTGACAATTTCTAAATCAGGAGAAATGAGAAAAATATGTTGTGAAACCTTACCTGTGTTTTAATAGTAATCACAGAATAATTCACCATGAGAAAACATACAATATTAGGATACTGTAAAAAGACCTGCAGGATGCTTTATCTTGTCTTAATAATGAGCACCATTTTTAGAGAATCTAAGTAATCTAGCATGTAATAGTTCAATATCAGATTTCATTCTTCTACTTTGTTTGTACTGATGACCCACCATTCTGATTATAGTTGTTCACTGATTTCGTGAGAGAATCTAGCCGAAGTTTAAATGATTAGTTTACAAAAATAAATTGGTGAGAAATGAGGCATTTTAACATGGAATCAAGAAAAGGCTCTTTGCTGCTCTTGGGGGCAGGTTGGGGTCACAGAGGCTGCAAAGAATGATGAAGAAGAAAGAAAGTTAAATATAGATTTGAGTAAGGTAATGATAATTTATTTCACCAGGTAGGTTAAAATCAAATGATCTTCCAAAGAGTTAGGAAGATTCCTTTCTTTTGAGATAGAAAAGAAGGGCTCTTGAAAATATGCATTTTGGGGATGAAGGGAAGGAAAGTTGTGAAGAATAGTTGGAAGTTGCACACAGTGGTCTTTATTTTAGCATCCTGCACACAAATAAGAGAAATAATCACTTACACTGGTCCAACTTCTGAAATTCTCTTTAAAAAATGAATGTACAAATTTCTATTCCACATAAAACCATGTGGAAATGAAAGGAAAAGTGATATAGTCATAAACTTAAAATATAACTTTAATGCCATCTAATGCATATAAATATGAACATTATTTTTTCCTCCAATTGATATTTAGCCCTCCGAATGGAGAAACCTCTGTCCCTCTAAGTTTAATCCTTTTTTACTAAACATGTATTTATTTTTAAATTAAAATTAACAGAGAAAGTACTAATAAATAGTATTTAAGATATCTGAATTTTTTTTAAAAAATGCTTATTTTCCTTTTAACTCTTAGCTCAAATCCACCAGGTGGCAGTAAAAGTGTTTATCCACAAGCACAGTTCAGGAAACTTTTAACATATGTAAAAATCCTAAAAATATAGCATGTATGTAAGAAGTGGCTGGTTGTCATTCCAATCCTAGCCTTTTTCAAATGAACACACACACACACACACACACACACACACACACACTGTTCTAGCAAGTACTTTGCCTGCTGATACAGGTCAGTACTACTTCCTTATGCTACTTCATTTATACCTCCTCACTTAAGTAGGGTATAAATACTTGTTAGAAGGTAGAGGTATTATTTGATTTTAATATTGTATTTCCCATTTAATGACTTTTTTATTTGAAGGGATGCAAACAAAAGGGTTTTTTTAATTGCCAATATTCATCTGTTTTTGACCTACAAAAATGGGTATTTCATATGTTCCAACTCAGTATTTTTCTTGATTCCTTTGCTGCCAACTGTGCTCTGTTAAAACCCCCTTCCCTACTTTCTAGTGCTGTATTTGTCAAAGAGTGGTCCTGGAAACAGCGGCATCTTCAAGGAGCTTGTTAGAAATGCAGAGTCTCCAGCCCCATCCTAGACTAACTGAATTGGAAATTTTTAAAAATAAGATCCTTACGTCATTAAGCAGCATTGAGTAGCAAATCCCTGAAAGACATCTTGAATATATTCTTTAACCTCTTCCTCCACACTCTTGGTTACTAGAACTGTATCTTGTTTAAAACTCCAATCTCAGTTCCAAAGCAAGTGTTCTCTGGATGAACTTGTGACTCAGGAACTCTGAAGACAGAAGGTGGGGTTTGTTTAAAACCAATTCTTTCCCTCTCTTTTCAAAGCCTATTCCCTCTGGTGTGTGATGGGAGACTGGGGGAGATTGGGGGAGAAATTAGGGAAGAAAAGGATACATTTCTCTCCACTGGTTAAGTGCAATCTATATTGCATCCAACTGTTCATTCATTAGTGGGCACATGGACTTCTATTGCAGAAAATCTGCAGCAGCCTCTCCACTGCACAGTTGCCTGACGTGGGAGATCAGCCTACAGCTTTCCCTTTCTAAATGTCTCTCAGTTCCCAAATTTAGAAGCATACCCAGCCTCTTGCTGCTTGGAATTTCTTTCTCCCTTGGGTATCAAGATGGTTCAAACGTGGATGACACTTTCTACATAGCATCAGTGGACACAGGAGAAATGTACACATCCTTGCCTTGCCAAATGTAGGTGTGCACATTGCTTTAGTAAGCCCATTCTATGACTATGGTTTCTCTCCAAGTCTCTATCCTCCTGTTTATGGACAAATCTGCCAGTGGATGAGATGCCAGTCTCTCCTTACAGTTACTTCTAGTTTCTCTAGCTGATTCTATTGGAGCCTTTTTAACTGAATGGAGTGGGGTGGAGGATAAATTGAAAGGAAAAGCCAGTACTGTCTAGGAAACTGACTGGCTCCAATGATTCTCTCATCCTCCTCTTCCCATGTGTTCTGCTTATATGACCTGAGAGTGAGGGCTGGAGGTGTTGACTATGGGACTAAGGCATTTTGTCCAGTTTTTGTTCTGGTGAAAGGGCTAGGTATCTGGCCCCAAATATTGGCACTATTTAGAAGGTGAGTAGTGCATGCTCTTTATTCCCCATTTTGGACCTCACTCAGCATCCTCCTATGTAGGTGTTACCTGTATCTACTATAGTGTTACAAACTTTTGTGGGTCCTCAAGCACTCAATTACTAACACAGTGCTAGTACATCATATTTTTTCCTTATTTCATCACTCCACTGTACTTTAATACACATTAATAAGGCTATCTCTTGACAAAACTATAATCTGCCTACAATCATAATGATATAAAGGTGATCCTAAAAATCTTCTAGTATGTCTTACCTTTCATCTCATTCATTCATTCAATCATTCATTTACCTCAGGCATTGAAATGGATGCTGCATATATAGTGGTGAACAAAACACATGGTGTCTTGCCTCCTGGAGTTTGCCATGTGGTGGTGGGGAAGATAGTTAGTAGATAAGAAAATAAATATCAAACAAATGTACAAGGTCTGTCCAGAAGGTATCCATCCAAGTAATATGAAAAATAGAGACATTTATTGAAGAAGATACAAGATACAAGAAACACTGTACAGAGGACAATGATGACTCAGTCCCTGTTAATGTAGACACCTTGGGACCTCACAAAGTGCTCCCAATTGTTATCAGCTGCCCTGTCATATTTTCCTGAATCTCATTGACGGTTTGAAATCTCTTCCCTTTCAAAGGTGATTTCAGTTTTGAGAAAAGTCAGAAGTCACAAGGTGTCAAATTAGGGCTGTAGGGAGGCTGAGTCACCTGGGTGATTTGATGTTTTGCCAAAAATCTGCACAAGACGTGATGTATGAGTGGGTGTGTTGTCATGATGAAGCTGCCAATCACCAGTTGCTCATAGCTGAAGCCTACTGAGTCATCCAAATAGTTTCTGCGAAGGGATGTTCAAGCTTAACACAAAATGTGATGCAGACTCGTTGCTGTACTCACTCAGTACACACGACAGTCACACAGTACATATGCTCACTTAACAATGGGTGTCTACCATTCCCACTGACTAGTGCACTGAAATCATCATTGTTCACACATGTGCATTCCATCCACTCTCCTTGGCTGCCAGGTTATGTCAATGTCATGCAAACCATTCT